TGTCCAAAACCTATTTTAAAACCATCACCTTGATAAAAACCTAGAAAATTATATTTGTAAAATATTAATTTATTTAGTTAATAACTTTTCTTTTACCAGTCATTGTTACTGTATCGCCATCTTCAAGAAATTTTCTTGTTAAATTTTCATCTAATTCTAAAGGTTTTGATCCACGCCATGATAATTCAAGCATTGATCCATATGAATCAGGTGTTGGGCCACTGATTGTACCTGTTGCAATTAAATCACCAGGTCTTAAATTACATCCTGTTACGGTATGATGAACAAGCATTTGTTTTAAACTCCAATACATATACTATTTACATTATCAAACTAACAAACAGAATTTATTGAAGTGTTTTCTTTTTACCTTTAAATTTGATTTACAAATTGTATATTCTTTTGAAGATTTATTTGCTAAAATAAAATAAAGTATTCAAAGGGGAAAAAATAAAAATTTCCTCACATGTCAATGCTACTTGTAAATCAATATTGAATGCACTTGGTTCTTGTTGAGTCAAATAGCCTAATGGTTTTGGATCCTTGAAAATTTAAAAATTGAATCTTCACTTATCTAAAAGAAAACTCTTACTTGTATTGGTCCATTACATAAAGCACATTCTAACGCATCCATAGTTACTATCCATGGTGAAATAGTTGTACCAAAATTTTTTGCATTAAATGGACCTAATGGAACATATTCCCATTTTTGTATATCACGTGCTGACCAATCATTCATAATGACAAGGCCAAATATATATTCATCAGCTTTATTCATTGTAATTGGCTCTCCTTGTTGATTACCTGGACCACCAACAAAAAATGCCATTTCAAGTTCAAAATCAAGTAATTTACAATTTCCGAATGTTGGTGGTTTACCTATAATATGAAAAACATACGAAGAAAGATTTTATTTAAATAATAATACTTTCATCAGGACATGTTTGTCCATTCGGTCGACGAATATCTGTTCCAGATATGACTATCGATGAAGCACGCCCATGATAACCAACTGGTAAATGTAACCAATTTGGGTTAAGAGCATTTTCTTTTCCACGAAACATTGTCCCAACATTCGTTGCATGTTCTTTTGAACAATAAAAATCTGTATAATCACCTAAAAGAAAACAATACGTCAATGAATATCATAAGAAAGATATAAGATGAAGAAGATTTTATAATGAATCTATTAAGCAGCTTAGATCAATTTGTTTCACCTATTTGTGCAGGTAGATGCATTTTAGCCTCGTTTTGTTCGACGAAAGCTCTAGAGATTATTGGTTAGATACATTCATGGGAATTTAAAAGAAATGATCTTTTTTAATATCATACTTTTTTCGTAATTCAACATCATCTTTCAACATTGTACAAGTATCAGATAAAAGTTCTTGTAATCGTTGTCGAGTTTCTTTCCATACTGCTTTGCCCAGTGACATGAATTTATTGAGAGTTGTCTAAGTAAAATATAAATTAAATATTCCTCGTCGGATAGAGAAAAAGTACAATTTTTGTTTCTCTGATGGACTAACATCATTTGCCGAGAAGTGGAATATTCTGCAAAAATACCAATCAGTATCGGCATTTTACCAAATGATATGCTAGCTATTTATCTGAGTGATTGCTTCAAAAATTCTGAAAAATAGTGAATTTTCAAATACCTATAGTCAAAATCATTTCCAAAATGAAATTTATTTCAAATGTTTTGATTTAATGAGTGCTAAGCAATTCAATGATGCAAAACTTATATTTGAATGAAAACTATCTATTCTTCTTTACTCGTTCCAAGAATCTTATAAAACAAATATCAGATTCAATTTTATTCAAGCCATATGATTCGAGTCTATGATTCTTAATGTTCGAAAGACTTCAATTATATGTTGAATCATAAAAATCTAAATCTAAACTACTGATTTACCTCTTCGAACACATTTTGTTTTCCATTCAAATGTGGTCCGTTAAATAAGTGTTTAATAAGAGACAAATCCAAAATTTTCGTTCCTATTGCAACACCAATTCTTGGTTTCGTCTATACGATTTATTACAATTCATTATTTAAGAAAAAAAACTTACTTACATTATCTTTTGTTGAAAAGACACCATAAGGTAAATTTTGAAGAGGAAAATGAGAATCAATACTAATTTCAATAAAAGACATCTAAAAAAAGAACATCATTAATAGAAACTTCAACAGTAAAGAAATTTGAAAAAAAAAGAGAAATCTAATTGTTTTATTGTCCTTTGTTACGTTTTTTCAAAGCTTTAGCTCGAACTCCACCTAAAACATGCATTGTAATTTTATTGGAAAGAAATTCTGGTAAAAGTGATTGAATAAATTCCTAAACAAAAAATAAATCAATAAGAAATTTCTAGTGATTGTCATTTATTTGGTTTACTTGAATATCATGCGTCCAATATCCTGTTGTAAATGGAAGAGCAATATGATCAAGTGCACTAACAACGAATTTTTCTGGTGTGGGAGCAATTAAAGATGCTTTACGAATACCAGATAATTTACTAACAACATAACCAGGACATAAGGATTGAACGTACACACCACGTGATATACATTCTGCGGCTAATGATCTATTTAAGAATACCGAAAAAAAAAGGAATAAACAGACGAACCATATTAAAAATTATGAGTAACTGACCGTGAAAAAAGATCAATAAATCCTTTTGTACCCGAATAAAGATCTAATAAAGGTGTTGGTCGTCGACCAGAAATACTCGATACATTAACAATAAGACCTCGTTTTTTTTTAATCATATCTGAAATTTATAATCGAGTTTTAGAACTTGATTAAGAACATTAAAGAAATAAACCTGGTAAAATTATTTGAGTTAAATTAGCCACTGAATCTACATTGCATCTGATCATATTATTGAGAAATTTTTCATTATCATCTACTTTATCAAAACATTCAGGATATTCATAAGACATTCCAACATTATTGATAAGAACTCCAATATCCAAACCACGAATTTCTTCACGAATAGTTGAATAAATTGAGCTATCTTCTAAATTAATTAAAACAAGAGAAAAAAAACAAAGCTTTAATAGTTTTTTTCTGCATTTGTCTCAAACTTTTCAATAAGACAAAGCTCATATCAATATATAACAAGATTCAAGAGTGTGTAATCAAGATCTATGTTTTGTATAACACAAATTAAACTAAGTGTCGAACCATAGGGCGAACTATTTGGATTTACAGGCCAAGATCAAATATAAATCTCAAAAGTGAAGTTTTTGTATATTATTAATAGTTAAGAAAAGTGAAAATTGGAAAGTCATGGGTAAATTAAGAAACTATAGCATAGTATTGATGTAATATCGCTTGCTAAATCAAACACAGTATCGAACAAATATAGGAAAATTAGTCTAGTTCTCAGTCTGGAAATTCTGCAGCTATTAAGATCACGATTATTTCTATTAGTAACACCAGTTATATTGTGTGTCATATTTGACTCCTACAAGCATTATGCAAACAGCTTTTTCTCCTGGAATAGCGTTCTTGAGAACTATTCACTTTTGTCAGGTTTCATCATTCTCACAAGGCAACAGATAAAAATGGTCAAAAATTTGATAATAAAGCTTTTTTATATGACTCGATAAAAAAAAACATGTACTTAAGATATGTAAGACTATGACTTATATCTGTCGGTTCTTGAAATAATTTCTAAAATACCAGAATGGAGACGAAAACTAATCGAAAATGGTTTTGTAAGTTTTCTAGATATCAGAACTTTTCGCTGTTATTCTGTACCTCATCAGCTTAGATAAAGATAAAATATTTAATAATCTTAATATAATTCATACTTGTAAAATCTATTGGAATTAGTTTAACTTTTGTATTTGAATTTTTGCTTTGAATTTCTTTTGCTACTTGTTCTAATTTTTCTTTCGTTCGACTTATCAAAATTACATTAAAACCTAAGTAAATAGATGTCATATTCAAAATATTATCATTTATAATTTATATATCTACCTCGTTTAGCTAATTCAACAGCATATGCTTTTCCAATTCCATCTGTACTTCCTGTAATTAATGCCCATTCACCAAATTTTTTTATATCAACTCGCAATGGACATAAGACTTGATAAATAAAAGTAGCAAGACGAGCTAAAATATAAATAAGTGCAAATGCTCCAAACGTCTCTAGCAAGCCCATCGTCTTGCTTGTATTGTTTCTTATCTTCTTAAAGTGAAGAATAATAATATGTGAAGAAAAAAGTTTCGACCAATGAATTATGGGTCATCCATAGAATATTTTGCGGACGAAAAGAAAGAAATGTGTTGCTATTTTATTATTTGCTCACATCGAGAAGTTTCTTGTGTGTCAAAATTAAAAATATGGCTGATTATCTTGCATCAATATTTGGTACGGAAAAAGATAAAGTTAATTGTTCATTTTTTTTTAAAATTGGTGCATGTCGTCATGGTGAACATTGTTCAAAATTACATAATAAACCGACATTTAGTCAAACAATATTATTAAAAAATCTTTATTTAAGCTTAGAAAATAGTTCACAAAAAGCAGATAAATCATTTATTGCTGATGATATTACAGAAGAACGTATTCAAGAACATTTTGATGATACATTTGAAGAATTATTTATTGAATTAGAAAAAAAATATGGTGAAATTGAAGAAATGAATATTTGTGATAATTTATCTGAACATTTAGCTGGTTAACATTAAGATTTTATAAGAACTTCCGAGTTTTATCCTTTTTTTTTATTTTAGGAAATTGTTATGTTAAATTTCGTTTTGAAGAAGATGCTGAAAAAGCTGTTGCAGATCTTAATAATCGATGGTTTGATGGACGTGCTATTTATGCTGAATTAAGTCCAGTCACTGATTTTCATGAAGCTTGTTGTCGACAATATCAAATGGGGTAAAGAAAGAATTCATATGAACAAAAGTCTAACGTAATCATACAAAAAAAATCTCACGAGAAATCGTCATCTCTTCAAAATTTCCATCAAATTTTGGCATAGGATTCTTCTAAGATCATATTATCTGTATGATCTTTTCGAGGGACCATGTAACATCGTGTAAGAATCGTATGGCAACAATTTGATGCAAACTTTGCACAGATTACAAGTTTTCGTCTGATTCTTAAAAGATCGTACAGGATTAGATGAGAATCATAATGGATTTCGTTGTCGGATCTGAGAACTTATCAAGTTAAAAAAAAAGGAATTAATGAAGTAGCTTGAATAAAATAGATTAAGCAGCGAAACGTAATTTTTACAGAAGAAATAGCATTTAGGTTAAGATGTAAACTGTTTCTATGTGGTCGAAGAGACTGAGCTATTTTTGGTTACAGATATTTCTAGTCATGATTAATTATTTTCATCTACTTGTAGATAGACGTAATGATCATTGTGAATTCGATATATTTTGATAAAATATCAATTACAGAGTATCTTTATTCGATACCAAAGGTTAATCAATCAAAGTTAAAAGTCGTACTACTAATTTTGTTCTTTTCTCACCCGATGTTGACTTTTCCAAAGCCAACCTCATGTAGTATCAAAACATAAAAATATTCAGTAGTGATACTCGTATGCATGTTGGGAATATATAGTTATGACTAAGTTTTGAAACCATTAATAATTCTTAAAAAAAAAGTATCTTAATAATATAAGATATTAAATATGATCTGTTCACTGATCTTAACGTTAGCATTTGGGAGTGTTTTTATACCTTTTCCAGAAAAATAAGATTAAATTGATTTGTGGATTTAGACAACCATTAATCTGTGATTTCTATTTATATATCGTGTCTTCTGTCATTATGTAGTTATTCTAAATCATTATGTAAATTTTGTAGGAGATGATAATCACATTTAAGAAGAGAAGAATTTTATTGTGATGTAAAGAAAAACGTTGTGAATTTAAAATAATTAAAAGCTTATAGAGACGAATGAGTGAACATTATAATTTACTAAGGAAAAAAAAACCTATTATCTTCAATTAATCTAGGTCAAATTTAGAAATATTCAAGTTCTCCATATGAATAATCTATATATTGCTTTCAACAAATCGATATAATGCAAAGAAACTTCAATCAGACACATCTACCAACAAGATAACGTTGTATTAAGAGCCATACTGAAGAAGATTTGATAGTTATTCCACATGATTGACATATATGATCTGTAAAGAAATATTCTGTTTTTTTTTCTAGGGACTGTCCTCGCGGTGGATTTTGCAATTTTATGCATTTGAAACCGGTAAGTTAGAATTTTTTTTCTTCTTATTTTTCTTGTATTTATTTTTGATATAGATTTCAAAAGATTTACGAAAGCGTTTGTATCAACGTCGTCAAAAAAAGTCTCATGGTGATTCTAGATCTCCACCTGGCGGTGCTCGTTCTCGTTCTCGATCACGTGATCAAGATCGTCGACGATAAGACAAAAACACTCTCTCTGCTATCTATAAACATTTCTTTTTGTTTTATGTAAAAACAAAATGAATTTAAACTCATCTATAAGATGTTCTTCATATCCTCTATCTGTTGTAGATTGTCTTCATGATATTGAAAAGAAAAAACAAAAGAAAAAATAATTCGTTTTTGCGGCTAGAAGCTAAACTTTTGAAAAGAAATAATGATCAATGAATTGTTTCTGAACATAATTGCTAATATTTAACTAAAATTGATTTTAAAACATTATTTACGATAATTGTAACTAAATGTACAAATTTACATGAATAATATTTAGATGCTCAAGAGTCTTTGTATATCGAAGGTTATCCAACTGATACCAAATATATTATTATAGGACATTTTGTCCATCGAAATTGTTATGATTTAGAAAGATTTTTAAAAAGTCAATTTTTTTATAGCTAAATGGTCTCATCCAGTGATACTTTTATGTGGAAATCATGAATGAAGACAAATAACATAAGTCTATAGATTTAATGATGAATATATGTAAAAACGTGAAAATGAAATGTATGAAAATTCTTTTGTCCTCTTTTTGAGCTTATCTTTATTACGACATGGATACATGATGAAGTTTTATGTATAAATATTTAAAATAAAAATGCAACTTTTTAGATAGTTTTTTTTAAATAGTGTGTCGCCAAATATTAGTGCCATTAATCAGATGGCGGTCAATTGAATATGATGAAGAAATTCTACATCGAAGTAGATTCTATGATTAAATGTGGTCTGATTCAAACTATAACAATTGGCGTGAATAATATTATTTCGAAGTATTACAAAATGGGTATTTGAAAAAAAAACCAACGAATCAGTATATGTTAAAACACAGTGAACAGCTAATTTATCAGACTCATCAATTTGTACAAAAAGATGTATTTTATCAATGGACGACTTTCCTTAGCGGTCTTCAATCCAATACATGTTGTTATTATTTCGCATGCTAATAAATTGAATTTTATTAAAGACTCATGACTAAAGAATCTATGCAATCTGTATTTGTTAGATTCAGATCATACTTTGAATACAGATTATGAGATCAAAATTCGGAATAAATTTAATCGATCATGTTTTAGTATTTGTAATGACAATTAGGCATAAGTAATAGGATGAAGCAGAGTTTTGTTTTATTACTCTATTTAATTACAGCTTTCTTTTTGAATGAAACGAATACGATTTTTAAAAAGTCAATTAAGTTTACTATTTGTATTGAATGTTACTTTGGATTCATTTGAGAGACTGAGTCTAGAATGGATTTAATCGGCTCTAATTGACAATATTTGAGGTGTATTTTAATTTGATGAAAAATTTTAATCTGCGAAATATGAAGAACTCATTGTAAAAAACGAGTTTTAAAATGGGTGTAGGTATGCACTGACAGCGAGATTCTCTATCGTAACAGTAGTATAAAGATTATTTTCAGCTGATAATCCTTGATGCTTCGTTCTAAATATTTAATAAAAAGGAACTTATTTTGATGTTAGATATTTTCGTTAGAAATCACTCTTAATGAATACTATTTCCTGTATTAATGTAAATATTTGTGACTTTTGTATAGAGTACTGATATTTAAACTCGAGATGTTGTTCAGATGAACTGAAACCAACAATATTGGTACATACTTCAATGCATGAAATTAAGAAAATAAATTTAGTGAGAACTAAAGTTGAATCTATTCATTAATTTACTATTGTATTGACGATGATAAGCCTTTTTCAAAACTATTTTAGTACTATTTGAAGTAAAAAATAATGCTAGATCTTGTGATGTTTACCACTCAAAAAATAAAAACAATATGTGACAATTAAAGATGATTTTTTGATTAGAAAAAAAGAAAATATGATTTCTTTTCGAAGAATTATTTAAATATTATTTTTCATTTTTCCGATTAACTACCATAAATAAATATGTTAATAAAAACAAATTTATTGATCTCTATCTAATCGCCATTTATGTTTGTTTCTTCGAGATCAAGTTTATCTTTGTTGACTATCTAATCACCCTCTGATCTGTGTCAAAGTTTTCATTATCATTGTATTAATATAATTTGTATACTTGCTTGTCATACAACAATAAAATCACATAAAATTTAATTATTTAATATTGTACTGTATAACTAATGTGTTTTATTATCAAAATCTACTACTGTTTGTTTTTCTTTCAAAACAAATCCTGATTCTGTTGCTTTGATCAACAATGTTTACTATGTAAAAAAAATGTAAATCATAACTCGTGTAATAACTAAATCAATTCTATATACATTAAAATGTATATTAAAAATTTATCTTCTATTATCCAGAAGAAGTTTATTTGAAAGCAACAAAACAAATTCAACCAAATTAAATTGCTTGCATACTTAATTTTCGTTTAATAAATTAAATAATCATGAATTGTACACATGAATATGAATAATATTTATTTTGGAATGTTTAGACTCTAGTCACGAAAAGATCATATTTTTCTTGAAGTATGTTAGTATTATCAATGCAGTCAAATACATTAATCTCTAATTTTAATGTTTCTGTTCCATTGTTTTTTTCTATTTATCTATAATGTGCAATGATGCTAGGAGTATAATAGTAAATGTCTATAGAAATCATTGTATATATGCATGGTACAATGTCACTCTCTTATACAAGAGACGAAAGAGAACAAATCTACACGAACGCGTGCTATTGATAATCATCATCATCAAATAGGTGTCATTTGTGTCGAACCAACAACTGCGAGTCAAGTCCAGGCTAATAATTAAAGAGTAATGAAGCTAATTAGTAGTCAATCCCTATCTCTCTCTCTATATATATACACATGTCTATGTTCAACTATTCCTGTCAGTAGATAATGTTACTAGTAAAATATTCTTTTCTTATTCCTAATCATTCATCGTTCAGATTTCTTCAAGAGAAAAAACATCGTTCAAATATTGATGATCATCTCACACGGGTATGTGTATATATATCATCGTCAAGTGCAGAGAAAAAAAACGAGACAAAGAAAATCGTTGTCCAAGTATATAACCTAGATAGAAACGAGAAGAAATAAATATCTTCATAAAAGCATTCTTCATTTCTTCGTTAGAAGAATAATTTATATATTTGTATGACGTACTACTACAACAATTATTAGTATTGCGACTAACTAACTGTCATAGTTAGTCAAGTAAGTTGTTTTATTTCACTTCAGTGCTTTCCCATTCTATTTGTCTGCATTTTTTTCCGTATTATTGTATTTCTTTGTTTTTTCTTGTTTTCTCAAGTTTTTTCTTTGCTTATTGGCAGTTTATCTTAAGGACATTAATATGTCAATCTGATTCTTTGAATTATTATTGGAGTAGGAATAGAAAAAACAAAAAATAATATTAATAATAATGTTCTTTTCTGTTTTTATTATTCGATTAAAATCTTAATCTCATCATCTATTTATATATATACAAAAGAGCACGTTAGGATGTATGTTGATTGTTTTTTGCTCTTGTCGTCAGTATGTATGCACCACATACATGCTTGCGTCGAGTAGTTGATCGTCGCGGTAGCTTTTATTCTCTCGTCTTTCTCAATAGGGGCTCCTATTTACTCTCTCTCTAGCTGCCGGAGGGAACAAATAGAAGAACAATATCACATCATTGTAGACGACAATGATGTTGTATGTATAGTATCATGTGTCGTTTTCTCTTTTCTTTCTTATTCTTATATATGTGATTGATTTTTTTGCTTCGCTCATTTGCATGTAGCTACACATGCATATTTACATACGACACAATATTACAGGTGAGTAACGAAATGTAGAGTGGTTATTATTATTATTATTTTTATTAGTACAATTAATACTTGTAGATTAACAAATAATTAAATATCATGGAAATTTAATTCCATTGAATAATATGTAAAGAATAAGAAAAATGAGAGTGCTACTACTGCCGAGTAGTATTGATCGGCATGTGTGGAGAGATTTCCTTTCTTCTCTCGCTCTCTGTCTACATATTGACATCTAGTACTCATTGGTGATAGTAGTGTAGAGAATTTCTTTCTTTTTCTTTTCTTACCCACTCTTCGTTCTTCGTCTTATTCGTCTGCATACTCTCTTCTTCACTTTTTCCTTGTACTTCATGTATATGTTAGCGTTCGCACTGAGGCCAAGCACATAACCATTGTTAAATTACTGTTAGTGTATATAATTCATTGACGAAGAATGATGATGGTTCAAGGAAACGGAGAAAGAGAGAGAGAGAGGAAAAGAGATAGTGTGTGAAAATGAGCAACGAACGACATGACGAAATGCAGATGATGATGATGAGTCTAGTGTAATCGTTGATCGACAGACGGGCAATGACGGCAAGTCAGTCTCCGCTTTAGCTCTTTATTCTAACAATAATAAAACCCTTTTAAGTAAAAGCACACGTGCAAGCAAAGTGAAGCATAAACAAAATATCAACTTTTTTTGGGTTTTATATGTATATGTGCAATTCGCGCTACAGCTTCGCCTTGTCATCTTCATCATTAGTTTGTGTTACTTCTTTATCATCATCTTGTTTGATTTATAGTCATATGCGTGTGATGCCAAATCTGTGTGATTATTATTATTCTCTATTTATCTTAGTCGAGTTCTTATTAAAAGAAAAAAGAAAAATATGCTCTATCTTGTTTCATTCAGTTTTTTCTTTCTCCTTTTCTTATCGTTGATTATTCGACAATAACAACGTCGATTACAACAAACGCGTCATCACTACATCAATCAGAAATATAGAGAGAAAAAGAAACAGAAAAAGAAAACGACTATTTTTCCAGGTACTTATAGTTGATGTCACCATATAGTATGATTGTATGTGTGCTTTTATATGGGTTCAAAAACTTGAAGAAACAGAAACACATCTGATACCATAGATGATTGATTAATCGGATCTATTGACTTTTTTTTCTCGTTCTGTATATATATATTTACACATATATGTATGTGTTCGTATGATTTATTCATATTTATCTCTCGTTGTTGTTTTTTTCTTTACGATAATCATTCTGTTCTATTGATGTATCAAATGAAAAACATTCGAGTTCACATGTATACTTATTCACGGCCTGTTTTACCATTAAACAGGATATAAAATATTCTATGTAATAGGCTATTGTAGCAGCTCATGTCACAGTAATAAATAATATAATGTATCTAATATATATATATATCAACCAACCCGATGACGAGCGATGAATTGTTAATTTACGCATCATCTGCTGTTTTCTTTTCCTTCCTTTCCAACGACTATCAAACTCTTGTGTTCGTAAGACTTTGTCGAGCAGCAAAAAGAATAAGAGAACAAGAATTCATACTCAGATAGACACAGACAAGTTGTTATATAGAATCGGTTTGTTTTTTATTAATGTAACACTAGGAACAACAAGTTCTTTCAATCTATAGAAGTTTTCGGTTTTCATCATTTTTATATGCCCAGTATAATTTGAGTTATTCTATTTACTTTCTTTCAAATAATTACTACATGTACACACATGTATTGTTGCGTCAAACAAAAGTATTTATGAAGAAAAAATTGATGAAGAATTATTAATTCATCGATAAATAACTATAATCGATTTCATTTGTTGTTTTATTAATGTAAATATTATTTGTTAGCATAATATAGATCAATATCTTTTTGTCTCCTTTTTTTTGCCTCTAAACGTCTATGCGTCTTATTATAGTTGGCAAGTTGATCGTTCTTTTCAGCATATGTGTGTATGTGTTATAATTTCTGGTTAATGACAAATACAGTAGAAAACGACAATTCACGCGTCCCCCTAGCATTCATTAGTATGTTTGAATATGTATGTATGATGTATGTCGCTTTTAATTCATCGACGAATTATGAGTGGAATAAAGAAAAGAAGTTAAACAGTCCTATCAAAAGATCGGTCAAATGTGCATGTTGACATGCAATCTTACATATTCTTTCTGATTTCCTTCATTGTGGTCATTCAATTTTTTCAGTATAGGTTCTTCAATTTTCCTTTTCATTGGATGATCGATCAGAAAAACTTTCATATGTCAATAATCCACACCTGATAAGCTGTCGTGTCGTGCCATGCATTGGTTAACAGAAGATTGATTGATTAGTTTCAAGGATCGAGGCACGCTCTCTTGTCTTTTCTTTTTTTCGCTGTTTCTTTCTTTTTTTATCGAGTCTTTTCTCATTCTTTACTTCATCCTACTCCATAACATTGCCTTTTTGATTCTGTATGTATGTGTGTACGCAAGACATAGAGGAAAGAACGTGAATAAGCAAGAAGAGTAGTTGTTGTCGATGACATGATTTCTGTTCATTCATCTAGAAGAAAACTAAATTAGTTGATGCTTTTGATTATTTTTATCAAAACCGAACAGAAAACTATATAATATGTTATTTATCTATTGAAGAGAGTAGCGATCAAACATTATCGACCGAAGATAAACAAACCAAAGTTTCTGCTATAATATAGGATCCAGATATTATTGGTTGTCAACTATTCATATTGGAAATTAAAGAATTCTATCGGGCCGTACATATCAAGTAAGAATAATATTTAGAACTTCATCGACTTGAATACAGAATAGAACAAAAAAACGAAAGCAACGATGAAGCATTTTAATTTCTTGACAAGAAAAAGAGGACAAAAACATGTGTACATTTTGCGTACGCACAAATATGAAAAGATTTGTTTTGTCGACGTAAACATTTTTTCTTCTATAATTTAGAGTTCAGTGTTGCGTTTCTCACTATCAAGGTATTGAATAAGCTAGTGCATTCTGACCAGATCCGGATACACTTTTTTATATTTTAACATACAATCCGGGAGCACGCATACTGGCGAACACGCAAGGTGAAATACGCATTGGTCCATCTCATCAAGCCAAATTGCCACTTTTAAAAGTTTATTCATCATCATTATTAAATAAGAATGATGAGCTCTGTTTATTACGTGAAGAACCACTATGGAAAAATAAAACAACCGATATTGATTTATCAATGTATTTACAAGCAGCACGATCCATAGCAGCATTTGCTGGTATGTGTGATCGTGGCTTAGCTGAAGATATGTATGAAGTAGCTCAACGAGATGATACGACAATAAATGCATTGACTGTTTTACATAATTATGATTATGATTGCAAACGTGCTGTACAGGCACTCGTAAAATATCCAATACCAAAAGGTATTGATAGAAAATGGTCGGATGATGATCAAAAAAAATTTATTAAAGGTTTAAAACAATATGGAAAAAATTTTTTTCGCATACGTAAAGATCTTTTACCACATAAACAAACATCGGATCTTGTCGAGTTTTATTATTTATGGAAAAAAACTTCCCAAGCACAAACAACTCGTCTGCGTCGACGACAACGTCTGTGTTCAACATCTGCTAGTCTATCTAATACACCAACACCAGCTAGACAACGTAATACAAAAAATAATCATAATCATAATAATAATAATAATAATAATAAAGATGAATTAGAACATAACTCTGATAATGATGATAATCAAACAACAACAACAACAGATTTTGACGAGCAATATTGTCGTCATTGTCAGACAATATCAAAAGATTTACAAATAGCTGGACATGATAATCAATTAGTATGTTATTCTTGTCGAATCTATTATGAAAAATCTGGTCAAATGCCAATAATAAATCTTGAATGTTCACCTTATTTATTTAAACCATTAAATGAAACAAGTCCAACGTGTACTAATATTAACAAACGAAAACGAACTAAACCAGTACAATCATCAGATGATGTTAATTCGTCATCAAAACGTTCAAGAAACAAAACTCATCTCAATGAAAAACTTTCATCGATTAAACAAGAAGGTGAAGAAGAAGAAGAATCAACAATAATAATAGAATCTAAATTAGAAGAACAAGAAAATGAAAAACCATCATCATTATCAACAAACTCTTCTTTTATTATCAAAACAGAAGATTTAAATTTTCAAATTCTTACACCAACACCATGTAAACAAGAATTGAATTCTTCATCATCAATACTGCCAGATAACACAACAAAAATTCTTATTGATCATACGAAACAAAATAATACTAATTTATTCATAACTTCACCTTCTTCAGCATTTTCACGTACATCAAAACAATCATTAATACCAAAAACTCCTCATAAATCTATTTCATCATTAATATCAAATACAAATAATTCAACAATTCTTAGTAATGATAATGTATCAATAATTACATCACAAAATAATGATTTATCAAATGATGATGATGAAAATACATCAGATAATTCAACAAATAATATTCAAGACTTCATTTGTGATCAAGGACCATCACCATTAATATGTGAAAAAGGTTAGCAGCATTTTCATTTTGTTGAAAGACAAATAAAATGAACCATGATTTTCGCTTTGTTTTTGTTCTCTATAGAATGTTATAATAGATCTCAAGAAATTATTTTATTACAAGTCTATGATCGATCAAAATCTCAAAATTCTTGTGCACGTACTGATATTATTCTTAAACATGATTCGCCTATACTCCAAAAACAAACTGAAAAACAAAAAGATTTACCATCATCAACTACAACAACAATCAATCTTAAACAAGAAGATCGAAATTTATCGGTATGTTGAGAACAAAACTATCAAACCTTTTTCAATTTTTTTGAATTTTTTTAGAAATTACCATTCTCTTTGGATAAAGGACTACCGATGCATCGCTCATCTGGTCCACAACTACTATCAGCAACATTACCACATCATGACCCATTATTAATGAATCGTAGCAATCTATTGTTTCAGCCATTACAATTATACAGTCTTGCCAGTGGGTCTAAACCTCCATTAGGTTTTTCTTCATCATTTGGACCATCACCCCATGAAAATCCTGTATTACGTCATATTGATCCATTAAGTTTACGTTTGATGAATCCTGCTGCAGCTACTGTTCAATTATTTACTGGTCACTCACCTTTTCCAAGTGGTATTGGACATCTAGCTCATCCTGGACTTGATCCAACGACAGCTGCTCTTTTACTTGATCCTCGTTATCGTAGCATGATTTCACCATTTGCTAATCCGTCACCCCCATCAATAGTGCCACCATCACCACTATCTTCATCAAATAATTCATTATCATCATCAACAATAAATAATGGAACACATAATCATGCTTATATGCACTCTCATTCGCATAGGCATTTACATTTGGCTAACACAAATGATTCATCATCAAATGCTATAAATGGTGCACCACTACCAGCACCAACTCTTTTACCATTTTCTAATCCTCTTTCAGGTTAAATTTCTTTTCAATTTTTGTGATTTATATTTCTATAGATTTAATATTAGGTCTATCTCATGCTAATTCATTATTACGTGCTAGTGGTTCACTATCAGCACCAACAAATTTTGAAGCAATGCATAATGTAACACGTGAACGTGAATTAATGGCATTTATCTTGGCTAATAATAGTCGATTTGATCCAATGACATCAACACTTGCAAATTCACTTCAAGTATATTCTAGTTTATTTATATGAAAGTAGTTTTACTATTTCTTGTCTTGTTTTGTTTTATTTAAGATGTCACGATATGATGGTCTTTCTCGAATAACCACAAAAGAACGAACTAAACGTGAACACAATGGAAATGAATTTCGTCGTTTAAATTTAGATGTTGAAAGGCAACAACTTCTTTTTCCATTTCATCATCAACCTGAAGAGCTTCTTCGGTAAACAATAAGACTTATTCCATAATCAATTTATTTTTCTTTGTTTTTTTTAGGCGCTTCTGAAAGCTTTCTTTTTGTTATACTCACACAGTATGTCAACAGTGAAAAAAGAAAAGTTCTTTCTTTATGCTCGTTTTTTTTCCAAATATATTTATCATCTAATCATTTGTTTGTCGATATATGTCCTATATATTGTAGATTAGTATTGATTATTTTATTAATAACTGAATGCTTACCTTTGTACTCGATGCTTTTTGCCGTTTTGTTTTCTCATTTTGATATTCTTTATTTAAAAAAATGTACAAACGATTTTCGTTTCTTATTTTAGAATTATTGTTTTGGTTTGTTTGATTGGCCTATTTTCTTTCGATAAAACAAATAGATTCTTATATTCGTCATGTGTTGATTATTGATAATCTTGATTTAATATGCTTTGAAACAGTATTCCCTATCTATTCTGCATGATTATGACCTGTGTTAAATATGATTTCGATATTTTCTTTTATAAAGATACGTACCTGAAAAATATCCGTAAGAAATAAATCGCTCTAGACATGTTCCTTGCGTATTCATCATAGATACATTAAATCGAAGTCAAACTATGATATATTAATGCTAATAGAGACTCTATACAGTGATAGATGAAGTTAAGTAATTGTTTTAGTAAAAAGAAAAGATCAAGATAAACTCTTCTGAAATGATGAAACGCTTATAATAAATCTGTCTGGATGCGCAAGTTATTGTTATTGTGATTAGAATGCGCTACTAAAAATTGCTGCATAATATTCTGTTTTTTTCTTAGTATTTATTGTTTTTAGGTTGCAATCACTGAACAAAGATTGACTATTGGCATTCTAAAAATAATATTTGTTTTAGTCAAGTTTATAACGAATGTGTTAAAAGGATTTATGTTATTGTATATATTATTTATTAAAAGATATAAATAATTTAACTAAAATTTTGAAAAATGCACTATTTTCTATTTACTTAAAAGAACAGAATAAAATATCATTATTATAATTCTTTTTCGCAAATTAATAATTTAAAAAAAAGGAAAGATTTGCTCTTTAATGTAATGCTAACAAGAGCAACAAAGTGGAATGGTTTGATGCATATTTTGCTTCTACTTCGAAGAGGAAATGTCTGATACATAGTCAACCTCTATTTGCTATGTAGTTTTTTCTTTGCATTCTATTTTAACGAAAAGCAAAAGTGGTGGTAATTCACTCGAAATAGCAATTATTCCATGTAATTTGCGTCGTATTTTTTTTTTCTACTCTCAAAAAATAATATCAATATTACTGAATAAAAAGATAAAAACAAAAACACAACCCATCGTAACTGTTTCCATGTTAACGGATCAGTAATTTGCTCATTTAAATAGTAATATGCATCAACAAAAATTCTCGATTTCACTATGGGAATATAATAAGACAAGAGAGAGATGGTTGCAAAAGCAATATGATAAAAATAATCAGGCGAGTGATTGGAATAGATTTCATGTAATCACATATGATATTTGGTTATCGGAAAATTATCAATCGATGCGTTTTAACAGTCTCTGGAGTATATTAAATAGATCGGAAGCTCAAATAATTGGTTTACAAGAAAGTTCGCTTTTTTTCTTCTGTAGTTTTTAATAATATAAATACGTTTGATTTATATATTTAGTGACAACAAATATCCATCAACACCTTTTGACACAAGAATTTGTTCAACAACGATATTTTCTCTCAGACGTTGATGATCGTACATTCAAGGATTGGTAGGATGTTGTGTTACTAATTGATATTCGTCTTGATATTTCTCATTTAAATCTTATTAATTTTCCTCAATCAACAATGGGTTGTCGTTTGTTACGTGCTGAAATAGAATTAGATCAAAATGAAAAACTCCATATTGATGCTATTCATTTAGAGTCTTTAGATAATAAACAAAACGGTTATGTCAGTTAGATGTATGTCATATATTAAAAACTAATCTACACGCAATAATGTGTATTAGTTTAATTGTATTATACGTTGTGACACATAATTTTTTTTTTAATAATGTCCACGTTTATTTTCAAACCAATCGTTAAGGTAAAACAAGTTTTCTTTAAAATAGAAAAAAAAGACACGAGAATATCACATATTTTTTTGAGAAGTGATAACACCACATGTTCATGCTAATTCTTCTTTAACTTGTTTCAATCGACAAGGATTTCATAAATGGGAACAGAAATCTTTATTAAATATTTTTTATGTTGCTTTATCAACGCTCCGTCGTTTACGCCTAAACTCACAGATACAAACTTCATCAAAAAATTCGTCGCCTTGTTGAAGTAATGTTAATATATTTGTATAATAATCATTTCAATTATTATCTAATTTCTATAAATACACCATAGAATATTGATTGCATTGAGTTTCGATGAAATGAATCTTTATATTGTTGGACATTTTTCTCTAAATGATCGTTTACAATAGACATTATACGATGAAATATTATTTGTGTGTTCAATAATCTAGAAACATAGAGACTGACAGATAAACGAAAAAATTATATTATAATAATGGAATTATCCAATATAATTTCATGTTATGATGCGCCACTTCTAAAGCTTTTTAACCCCATACTTATTCGTTTGTCCTTGAGTTGTATTTATACTGTCTTAATATCAAGTGTGTTTATTCCTAAACAAATTATTATTTGTAAAATCAGAGAATTTATAACAATCATATCAAATCGAAAGATACGCAGGAGTTTTATTGGATTTTATAATCAATCAATAGTGCATGAGAGACAAACATTAGTCACAATTCTTTTAACGTTAACTTTTATTTGTGTACAATACGAAAAATTGAAAAAACCATCAGAATACTCATCATAATAGTCAATTGTGCAAATTTTATTTATGATTATACCGTCACTATAAATGGAAATATCAATAACATGCTGCTATTTTGGAAAAAGATCTTGTGCAGGTCGCATAAGATCCTACAGGATCTTACTGGCAATCGAATGCAATAAGGTTAATATCGTGTGATATAATGCGATAGAATAAGTATCTTACTGAAAAATCTAATGTATTTCTTGGTGTAAAGTGCTAATGTGAACGTTACATGATTCTTATGATAAGATTCGTGAACGATCTTTCAAGAATCTTTGAGTACGGTTTAGTATAATTTCATCTCCAATGCTTTGAGATCATGCTGTGACATATGACGAAAAAGTGGCGTCTCGTCTAGTTTAATGATAGTGTGTCCATCCGAGAAGTAAAACGTTCGTTGTGCGTGTACCACGAAAACATTAATGTCTTTTCATTTTGTCGAATGGATATTAGTTTGTTGTTCTGCGTTTCAATGAGCTTTAAGGCCATTATAAAAAATAATTATCAAACTCATGGCACAAATCTGTTCGGTAAATTCTCATGTATGCTATCTGATTCATGATACTTATTTTCATTCAAGAGTTAAACATATGAACTATATTTAGATAATAAGACTAGACAAAACAATATCGCAAAATATCTTTTAATAATGGAATAAACAAGTTGATCATTGAATAGAATGTATAAATTAATTGACTTTATGTTTGAATTTTATCGGCTAAATGGCAAAATCGAATTAAAGCTTCGGCAAGAAAAACACAACATGCTGCAAAACCAAATGCCTGAAAAATAATTTCAAAAATAGATAAAATTTCTGCATGATACAAATAATTTACAGCTGCGACTGCTGCTGAACCGATTTGTGGTTTTACTAAACCATTTGGTGTATTTATACGTTGATTGTTTAAATGTGTACTAGTCAAACTTTTCCTTAATTTATCTTCCCAATACTAAAACATAGGATATATTTATTTTCATGAATTTTCTCTATACCATCTTTCTTTTCTTACAGCAACAAAAACTGATATACCAAATAGAGTAAATGCATAAATAATACATAGAGAAGCTATCTAGAAATAGAAAGTCTCTTTTAAATAAACGAAAAATTGGTTTCTAGTTCACCGCATATGAAACTCGATGCCATGAATATCGATAACGAAGTTTAAATATAATATGAGCAAGAACTACAATTAATGTTAGACAGAATATAATCATTAGAATAGCTTGATCAGCTAGTTTGATTGTATAAGCATCAATATCATACAATGATGTAGAATCAGCATTACTCTGAAAAAAAAGCAAGATTACAATATGATTTACATACATATATGTATCATTCAATCTTTTCTGATTTTCGAAGTACTGTTTGAGTTATATTATATTTAATTACATTCGAATATGCATCCACAAATAGAGTATAACCAGTAGATGTTATGTATACAGACATAAAACCACCAGCAAGTAATATCTAATACAAATAAATTGATTAAAGTTAAATATAATTCACATTCACTAGTACAATATATTATTATTCCTATAAGGTATCGACCAAAGAAAAAGAATAGTCATGGAATATTTCCTAGCATTAGTCATTTTATTTCATAATTGGCTCTACAGTAGAAATTTGATGTTCCTGTCTACGCGATTTTCGAAATGAGAACAACAGTCGATAAAATTTGAATTTCTTGTGTCAAACATTCGTTCAATATTTAGATGATACGATAAATAGTTATCTTAATAGCTTAATTTTCAAAACAGATTCTATGAACTAGACTGGTATCTTGTTCTTGCTATTCTATATGCATAATTTTCAATAAAAAAAAGTGACGACTTTCGGTTTCATTGAAGAGAAGATAGCTACCTCAATCGCTCATTCAGAACATCTCTCTGAGACTATATTAACCTTTTAAGATCAATGCTAATTTGCTAGGTTAGTCATTCTGATGCCACTCAAGGATTGTTTAGAAATCTATTAAGGTCATAATAATGGAAATAATTTGAAAAAAACTTAAAAAACTAATATAATTATATATGTATATTTTTAAAACCCATAGAAAGACTTTTTTAGCACAATAAACTTCAAATGGCTTTTCGTCAACAATGTTCATAAAATGTATGCTGTTATGAGTTAAAACTTGGAAGTGTCTTAACTAGCAGTAGTTCGTTTGGAGAAATTACAATCGAGATATACAAGTTTCTTTTAGTGTTTGATTTTCGTGATACCTTGTATGTTCATTACATCTATTTCTGTATATATTCTAATATAACAAGTGAAGACAAAAACTCTATCTGAAGAGCAAGACTTTATAAATGTAGTCTTTTCATTTATCGTTGTTATCCATTTGAAAAAAATAATAAGCCACAACCATATTTCTTCTTCATAACTTCATTTCTCAGATAAAAAGTATGATAGAACGATATTCAAAAGTCCTATGTAGTAGCATTAGATAAAACTATCGATTACACATCATTGCTCAATGTTTAATCGTAAACATGATTGATTCTTATAATTACACATAAAAAAAGCAGTCACACCAATGGTCGATAATTAGTGATGATTTAACGAATATTGTAATAGAAATCATTTCACTAAAGTTTACACCTCTAATTTATCCGAAGACATCAAATGAAAAATCGTCGTTATCTTTTTTGCATGACCTTTGAATTAACTGACTGTATCTAAACTTACTAATTCGATAAGATTGGCAAAGCCAAGAAGTGAAACAACGTAATATTTATCAACCATACTGCAAATTGAGCGCAATGAAAGTAAAGTATACTTAATGGTGTGTGGATATATACACTTGTAACATCATATAAAATATCTATAAACAGAAAAAAAAAGAATTTACATAGATGCCATAGAAATGGAAACTTCATGACTTTTGTTTACTATTGCAATCTTGATTTAGAAATACTATGAATTAATAAGAAATGTGATAACTATCTCATGTATTCTATGCTCTTTTGTTTTAAAAAATGTTAATTAATATGTATATGTGAAATTTAGAAGCATACATGTATAGGAGAAAATAATAGCTAATGGAAGCAGCTTAACAAGCAGTAAAAGCACAAAAATAGAAGAACTTTAGTCCATGCAAATAGAACAAAATGGAACATCAGAAGCTCATTCCAATACGAATGAGGCGAAAAAGACAGAATGCAATGATTGCTTTTGTATATTCTTTACTATTTGATGGATGATAGAATAGAATATGTCAAGAATAATATTAAAAAGTATCTATTTACATGTATACAATAATCTCCTCATTATAATATATTATATTAAAATTTTTGTTTGTGACGCAAATGTCAATCATTCATTGTCTGAACAAAGTGTAAAGTTTATCTAAGAAAATAAAACACTTATGTCATCTCTGATAACACTTTAATATAAGGTTTTGTAATCAACTATTACTATAAAGTGAGACGAGATAATTCTTTTTATTTGCATGACAACATGTTGTTTCGTTTACTGTACGATTGAAGTTTCGGTAGATAGTAACGTAAAAAGTGAACATCACATACGTGTTTATGAAGAAGTTTAGAATGAATTAAGAGAATTCCAAGGTTATTTTTTTAATTTTATTAATATTATCCGTTAACGTATTGTCTTGATTACTTGGGTTTCTGATTAAAACAATAGAATATATAACTTTCTTTTTTGATATTCGATTATAGATAGATAAACATCAATTTAATATTGTATCTCAGGCAAAAAAGGTAGAAATATGACAGTCATAATAAGAAGTAAAAGATATGGATCATTGAAATGATTACGATATAGTTATAAATAGAATATTTCAAAGTCTCAATGATTTATTCAATAATGATCACATTAAAGCTATTTCCAAAACTTAAAAAAAATACCTCTATGCATCCAGTAAAACCGAGACATCCTACATAGTGTAGTTGAGTTTCATGACAATGATGAATCCTTCATATGTTAATCATCTGCTAGTGAATCAATCAGTCATATTATATTATTAAAATAATGTTAGTCGTAATGCTGCACGAAACTGTCCGTTTAGGTAGCATCTCTACCTGTGCCGTATTATACAAAATCTCCAAGAACCAAGCACTGTGAAGAATTAGGGCTAGCAAAGCATGTTTTGAGCAACATTCACAAGAAATTATTACGTAGTCATCAATAGCACGGACGTTACATCAGCTGAATATTTGTGCTCAATGCTCGAGTTACCAGTTCAGAGAGAAAAATTTTTCAATGTTGATAAATGGATGTGCTCTTAAACAATCAACGAGATAGACTCGATATGAAACTCTAAGTTGTTTGACCGCTTGCAAGAAAGCCAGATTGTTCGACTTTACTGATTCGGAAAGCGCGAAAGAGAGAGGATGAAGCTTTTATTAATAGTTTCAGTTGTAGACTATAGTGTATGTGTAATCTATCAATCAAAAGTTTCAATATGCACCACTCTTAGCAAAAGTAATATTTAAAATTTAAATGGCATTTTTGTTGCATCTTGCTGTATAACTACTAGTTTTGTTTCAATTTGTAAGTTTGTCCTACTCTGAAATACAGATTCAATGAAAGTCTATTATGTATTGTCTTAATCCGTAGATTTTATGACTTTTTTTAAGATAAGAATAATTATTCTTTTGTTATGTGAAAGTATTGAAAACAACTTTCTATTGTTTTAGTTTTAAGTGATTTTGATAAGTTTCAAGACAAGAAATGACCTTTTGTCATAAACATATTTAATCAGTTTATTATAAGAACACAATTGAATTCTTCATAAAATCTTTGTCGTAATATGAATCAGTTGATCGAAAAAATTTTGTTCATTTATTAGCCAGTAATTAATAGTACTTACTCAATTTCAGAGAAGCAATTGAAAAATTTAATAGATCTACTAGTTCAGTTGCATTATTTGCACTAATGAGATAGGAAAATTTTGACTTGCAGCTTAACAATTATTTCCATAAATTTTAATTCAATATCTATAATTATTATAAAACGAAGTTTATAACATGATTAGGAAATTGGCTAACAGATATTTTTGATATTCTTAAAATGTTAATTCAACGTACAATACACGACTTTTGTTGAAGTCTCGCTTTGAAAACATAGATTCATATGTGTTTAGATTATTTTTGTGTGTAAAACAAGCCAATATTCAAGTTATGACATATAATAAATAGCAAGACAAAGTCTTCAATTAGAAATCAAATTAAATATAAAGAAATGTTCTTTTCAACATTATTCGAATAAAAATGCATCGATGCTTTTTACCAATGAATTTTAAATACAAGAGTAACATGAGCATCTATTTGTCGTTTCTTTTGTCCATTTAAAACACATCTAATTCATAAAGCAATAGACCATTGAACTTATTTCATTAACTTGAAAGTATGCGACTGAAACATCCATATGACAATAAGTAAAAGAAAAAGAAATGTCGATAGACTGTGCAGTGGTTTTAGTGTAATATTATGCGATTGCATCAAATATTTCAACTACAGTTCTACAAACAATATCATCTACTTACGTTCAATGTATTTTGCGTCAATAAATGAGCTATCACTTACTAGTTTTGTGAAAATCGTGTTTATTGTGTCATACTCGATTCTATATAAATGGCACAAAGAATATTCGACTGTGCCTACCCTGTGTAGAATAATATCTGTGCTGACATTATGAAAAAGAAAGTTAAATACGCTACTATATTCAATAAATCGTAGAGTTAGTCAATTTGATACAACACTTGATATAACTAAGCATCTACTCTGAAAACTATAATAGCTTGTTAAAGAGTACAAAATAGATATTAAGCTTTGGAAAAAGTGTAGTCACTTGTTCAGTCACTGAGCCACAATGATAATATATGTAATCGTTGCAATTCTCTACATACGTTGTTCAAGCATGATTTTATGACCTTCGCTTTCTTTTTCTTCGTCTCTTATGTGTACACAAAAGCTGATTTTTCTCTCTCGTGGATAGAATCTATCATAATAAAAGAACGACAGAAGTAACTCAGCGTCCAAGTAAGTGATTGCTATTTTTCTTAATTCTATTTTGACATGTACTTCACAGTACATTTTTCTGCATTTCTTAATGTTTTGAAATGTTTATATAATCTTTGGTAGATCACTCTGTGTTCTATGATCCTCAAAACGGAACTGCCTACATATGTTCCGTCTTGAAAAGAACAGGAATCTATACCGGATTTATTTTTCGAGGCATAGAATACGAAAGTGACATGTCTATTTGAGAAAATATTATTGTAAGCAAATGCCAATGAGTTATAGACTTTAAACTTGCATTGATGCATTGGGGATGTGCGTCATTATTTATCAGTACATAAAATATTCTTTTTTTTTATCCCTAGATCGAAGCTTTAAGAACGTAAAATTAATCAAACAGGAAATAGTGATTAGCATTGTTCATTTGATGTAAAACAGAATAAACAATGAGAAGAGAAAAATGAAGCCAAAGAAAAAAATTTGAATATATTGTTAGTTATGTAGTCATTTTAATCACAACTTAACAATCTTTTCCTTTATTCTGTTTGCGTGGTTAGACTAATATTGTCGTCTTTGTCTGTTTTCTTATTCATTTTCTTCTAGGATTAAAGCGAGATACATTGAAATCATTTTCTTGATCAACGACAAACACATCAGTCAGAAACAGACAAAATGCAGTAAGTAACTGAATAGCTTAGCACAAAAAGCAAACATTAGACAAATTTTTATTCTAGTTCCATTTCAACATTTATCTTCTTGATGACCATACTTATCGTCATCAACGCTCGATCAAGTTCTTCATCAAATGGTCATCGTTCATGTCCAGAAGAATATCGTGAATTACGTCGTCGTGATGATGATTCAAGCTCTGATTCGGATGATGATCAATGGCGAGAAGATATGTGCGAACAAGCTATGGATATTGCTGCACGACAACGTGATCCTATCAAGAATCGATTAATTTTACGTACTTATTGTGCTCATTACGACGAAGCTTTAGCATTAGAACGAGAAAATAATGATACATTGTGCGAAGACAAAAAACGAGAAATCAATATGAAAAGAAAACGTCAAGAATCAAAGAAGAAACGGGATGAAGACGATTCTGACGACAGTGATGATGACGATGATGATGATAAACGACGCGCATTACTTAAACGAGAATTTAGTAAACGTCTTGCTTTAAGATTTATTCGTAAAAGAATGTCATAAATTTAAAAAAAATTATATTATGAATAAATAAAGTATTTAGCACAAGAAATGCATTTGATTTTCATTAACAAAGAAAAAAAACCATTCAAAGCTTTTTTTTAGAAATGATCTCAACTCAATGAAAGATAAAAAGAGAAAAAAGGATGCGCTGAAAGTAAATTTATTCAAAATCATCGAAAAGGAATATTGTATCAGAGTTCAAATAGAACTAATCCTTTGATGTTCGAGTTAACTTCAGATTTCAAAAATAGATGCGAGTGCAGGAATTCAAAAACTAAAATTTTAACTAACGTATTGAAGTTAGTCTGAAGTGTTCCATTACCATAATGTTTAATTGTCAACATTTCCTCTAAATATAGATAGACAGGTATACAAATTCAGTGTCATTCTAAGTTAACAATACTTGAATTTCAATTTTCAATTATTCTGTATTCAAATATATGTCCGCATACTGTTAAATCAAGAAATATGAATAAACCTTTACTTCTATCATATTAGAATGTTTTTTAGACCATATGAATGAATCAGTTATAATCTTAAATAAACAATAGTAAAAATAATTTGCTTTCATATAATCAATCAATAGTAGCTTGTGCATATTTCTTCGTATGGTTAAGTCGACTTGATGATGTTCGCATGTTATTTGGTAATTCTGGTTGCAGAGCATTAATTCTTGAAATAAAATAACGTGTTACATAACCAACAGAACAAAATTTATTATGTCAAGGATGTGGATATGATAATAACTAACGAGCAATACCAAATCCATTAAGTTCACGTACTGTATTAAATGAGTTTTGATTATGAATATATGTTTCTCCATTTGAACTGGACAATGATTTAATCTATGTTGTTACCGATAATAAATTACGATTAGTCTAATTAAAAGCTTCATGGATAAAGATATCCAAAAATTGTATAATTAAAAAAAATGAATTTATTTTTTTTAAATGATTACTTTTGTTTTATTTTTTAGTGTCTACTTATTTTTGTTTGAGTGTCGATGAACGTCAATAAACAGATCTCTACCAAATGTTTGATTTATTTAATAAATGGTTTGTTCAATATATAAATGATAACTTTCATAAGCAGATACCGCCTCAGGATAATTATATATTGCTTTATAAATTACTTGAGAAAAACCAACTTTAATATGTTTTCATTGAGTAACAATAAAAATGGTTTATTAGCCCAAGTTTTATTTAATTCCTTTGCAATATTTTCAGCAAATTCATCACTAAGTGTATTTTTAATAATTTTTGTGGTACAACTTTTTCCATCCAGGCACATATTTGTAAACCACAATGAGCAAATACCAGTATTTGCTCCTGATAAATAAAGACAAGCAGTTGTGGTTCGATTAAATAAATTATTTGGTGTTACACTACAATCATGTAGTACTGAAACAATAAGATTGATGGTACCTGTTTGATGACCTATAACCGATGATCGATAATAATTCAAAGTATATAGTAATAGTTGTTGTTCGAATGACTCATGAGAAAAATATGCAAGAACAAGATAAAGTATCAATAGTAAGGCAAACATTCTTCCTTAAAAATCGCAACATATTAGGCTCATATTTATAAGAAAAATAGTTTAATGATTTATATGTGTATTTATATATGCATATGAATGACAAGTAATGTCAAATAATTTTTCTCATGCGTATGTCTATTGATTCCTGCTCGAACATTATAAGACGGCTCGGTTTGAATAAAATTAATATTTGAGATATAATTACGTGGTTTATAATCTTCGGAAAGCAATCCATTGGAACCTGGCTTAGGGTTTGCTCACGATGGATAAACAATGGGAAGACCATGAGATTCAAGCATCGCTCCAAATGACGATCGATGACGAATACATTCATCTTGATTCGAAATATATAATGATTTACTTGATGGAAAGAATGATGAATTAGAAAGATTATTTTGATTCAATTGAATACCTATTAGTACATATTCAACCGTATTGTAACTTTAAAATGAAATTTTATTAATTAAGTAAATAAATCATATTACTTTCACTTCTTTCCTTGTGCATGATCATGAACATCAATAAGAAGACCTTTACCAAATTTTTTATTGATTTGATTAAAAGCTTTTTCTGTATTTGAATGATAACTTTGATGAGAGAATATCGTTTCAAAGTGATTAAAAGTTGTTTAATTAATTTAGCGATTAACATCAACATTTTTACGATGCCATTTATCTACTAGTGTTAGATACCATTGTTTGCTTAATTTATTTGCAATATTTTCAACAAATTGATCGCTGTGTGTCTATCACTATTTTAGATAGCACAACATTATCCATCAAAGCGAGTATCATTAAACCACCATGTACAAACTTTACAATTCTTACCAGTCTGATGAAGACAACCGCCTGAGGTTAAATCAAGTAGATCATTTGTTATTAGACAACTACCATATGGTGTTGAAATTATAAGATTGCCAATATATTGTTGATGAAACTTACAAGATAAACAATAACTGCCAACAAAATTTAAGGTCTCTTGTTGAACTGATTGATCAATGTACGATATACTTGTACAAATAAAGAAATAATAACAAGCGAAGCTTTAAAAAAAAATAATCAAGCATATCCAGAACGAGGTTTACGGAGTCCGTATACGGAGCAAAACGGAGAGTGTATACGAGCTTCGTGCACGAGAATCGTAAATGACCGTATTTTTCTCCATATATTGTCGTATGCCTCCGTACACGACACGGTGATTTACGATCATAATACTGAGACATGTATTTAGTCGTATTTCTCCGTATATGGTCGTTTACGACCGTGCTTGTTCGACCTGGGTAGTTCAGTGATGAAACAACAAAACAATAGATGAGAAATATTTCATTTTAATTTTCAATCGATTGAAGCTTTCATTGATATAAGACTAGAAAAAGAAGTAAATGTAATCTGATTTATATTTTAGTTTCATAACAATTCCTTTTGTCTATGGAAGTCATTTATAACTGAGAGAAAATATTTAAAATCTGTTGCCTCTCTTGGAAAATCATTGACAAATTGCTAATATTAAATAACATTCGTCATTTTTGCTTCTATAAACTTTCTGTTAGTTCAAAGATTATTCAAACTGTTTGTTAAGTATCAGGAATAATTGCTAGCGCTCTGATCAAAGATGGGCAAGTCAGCGGTTTTTCGACTCAAGTCAAGTCATAGGTAGCTGAAAAAAATTCCAAGTCAAGTCAAGTAAAGTCATAACTAGTTCAAAAAATTTCTAGTCAAGTCATCGCTAATTCAAAAACATTCTAAGTCAAGTCAAAATTCAAATCAATCCTCATCAAGTTTTCTTTCATTTCTGAAAGATCAAGATATGATACTGTCATCCTATTTCAAACGAAAAAGGGTTTCCAACGAAGTTTCACGATAAATAGAAACAATAACTGGAACAGAAAATATATCACAAATAAATTGATTTAACTCCGTAAAAAAACCTAATCTACCATCCCATGTGTTCGATTGCGGTCAAACTGCGCCACAGTTACGCGCAACTGCAATTTTTTCATCGCAGTTACGGCGTAACTGTATCACAATTGCCATAAGAGATGACATATATGATGCTTTTATTTTATTGATATTATTATTTTGAATTAAAAAAAATTTAAACATTACATGATAGAAATTTAGAAAAACTAAAATATCAAAAATCAACGAAAAATAGTAAGTAAAAAATTTTCATACAAAATCAAAAAAGAACAATTCAAAAACTAAACAAAGATCACTAATAAAAAAAAGTTGAAAATTAGAAATAATAAGAAGAATAGAAATTTTTATAAAAAATTTAATAATAATAAAAACTAAAACTAGAAAAATAAAAATATAGAAATTCTAAAAAAATTGAAAAAATAGATGAATTAAAAAATTTATAAAAATAGGAAAAGAAAGAAATAAAAGGATTCAAAAAAATAGATAAATAAAAAATTAAGATCTAAAAAAAATAAAAATCTAGAAATAAAATTAAAAAATTGAAATGCCGTAATAATAATTAAAAAATTATAATGTAGACAAAATTAAAAACTTACCAATGACAGTATTTTTGAAAAGTTATAAAAATTATGTTCAGGAAATATTCTACCTCTTGTAGTCGAATGAATTATGAGTGGAAATCTTTTGGAGACTGTCTTATATACAATTCTTGTCTGAATAGATTTTAGCGCTAGAGTGTGATCAATTACAAATCAGAAGGAATCACTTATAATCGGTTAGCATGAGATACAGTGATTCTTATGATACGATTACTGTGACGCAATTGCGGTTGTCTGCATCGCAGTAACCGTAGTCTCTAATAGAGATTTTCACTACGATCAATGCCCACAGTTACGCGCAATTGCGACGCAGTTGATAAAAAAAGGCGATATAAGACAAATAATCGATTCATGATCATACAAGAAACAAATGTATTACAAATATATTGACCTGATCATAATAACTATTTACAAAATGTACTGAATATCAAAAATATATTCTAACTTAATTCCACAATTACATTTCAATAAGGCCAATTGTTGAAGAGTTTTTCAGATCATGTGAGCATGAGGAGGAGCCCGGTGATTCTTTTTGATATTGAGTATCTTTGAAGAATTTATCACGAGTAGTTATAGGTATGGCCGATGATGAAGATGAAGAGTTGTTTCCTTGACTCATATTAAGATTTAACTTTATTTTGTTAGATTATTTACAAGTTTAATTAGTGTAAAACAAAGAAATCAACGTAATTTCATTAAAGAAACTATTGAGAAATGAGATGGCCTATGAAAGCTACACAAGAGTCTTAATATTTCCAAAATCCTTTATTTTACTTCAAGCTGAACTCACTCTGAGGAAATAGGTGTTGTTTCTAATTATATTTTCCTGTTACATTTCAAATTAGAAACCAAAATTGAAGTGCATAAAAAATTTATGTTTATGCATTTTTGAACTTGACTTGACTTCTCATCTTTGGCTCTGTTTAATGTAGCCCTGGTCCAATAAAACTGTGTCGTAAATGGCCTTAAACAGCGTAAAATGGCGCCGTAATCCGTCATACCAGATTACCGAAGCAAAGCCGGTGGAAAATGATGGCCGTTTTCTAGTAAGAAAAACGGCTCGTAATACGGTATGACGGATTACGGCGAAATAAGGCCAAAATTAATGCAGTAATTCGCCGTTTCAGGTCGGAATAGACACCGTTTCCGACAGTCGGAATGATCAAGCTGGGAGGTTAGGTTTTTTCGAAAGTCTTCTGAAGAACAGAATAAACTTTCACTTCCTTCTTTTTATCTTTAGAAATTATATTTTTAGCAGTATTTTGGACTTTTAGCTCAAGAATCTAAATGAAATAAAATAAAACCTGTATTGTGAAGTTTGTTTCTGATGTACAAAAAAGTTCATAAAAATCTTGATATGCATCTGGTTACACGACAGACAGTGTTGATAAGAATCTGCAAATGTAATTTTCTTAAGAAGATATATAGGATACTTGCAAAAATTTCTCCCGTTGATACTAATTAAACAAAGTAGTATGCAATTTTATGTTCATGTTTTGAATAGTTTATAGTTTATATAGTTCTCGCTTTCTCTACATATACATGAGAAATTTGGATTGGTTTTAAGAACATCGTTGTTGTTGTATAGAACTCTTTTTTCATACTAATACAATATTAAAAAGAATAATTTCTCAAACACTGGTCTTGCATGAAATCTCTAGCTTTCCATAGTTAATCCTTGGCCAATATTTTTGAACATATAGCACATCCTCTATTAATCGTAAGCTCTCATATTATGAACGGCCGTTGTCGGCTCATTAATGTTCAATGACAATTCATTCTTGACAATAGGAAGCCTTTGTAATAAATCGTATTCAAGATTTTTATTATTCATCAGTGTATAAATTTTAAGTATTTTAATCTGTAAGAGCCAAAATTGAACATTGTATAAACCATATTCAAGTAACAATTTCTTTAGGTGACAGTTCTAATATTGATCGATAATATAAACGCAAAAGACATGTATTTTGCTTCCAGTTTCATATTAGCAATTGATTTTTCTTCTCATCTGAAATGATATTTTCAAACTAGACAAAAAAAAAAAGACTCGTAATGTTTCTTACACTGTTCAAGATACAGTGGCTCAGACTAGAAGTTCCTTAGTGATATTCGGTTGAAGAGAGATTTAAGACAGGAGTGCCAGAGAGATTTGCTCTTCCTGTGGTGAAATTTTGAAGACTTTCTACAACATAAACGAATGAAAAAGAAATGTATACTGTCTCAAATAGACGCCTAAAAACCATTTTCTTATCATGACTACCTTTTCTTCTGGACTGTCAAACTGAACCACCAATAAATTCAGTCTGTATTGATGAATAAATTAACACATTTTCATAGTTACAACCTGTTGAAACATTGGCTTGACCTTAGCGATATCGCACTTTTTTTAGAACTGCATCATACATTTTTCTTGATTCGAATTTTGCAGAAGCGTATTAGCTACACAAATATATCCTTTGATCAATATAAAAAGCCTTAATCACTAGAAAAATTTTGAACTTTCAAAATTGTTCTTTAGTTTTTCTCTTTGATTTCATAAAAAAAAAGGTACCTGTCATTTGATATATTTATTTCAGTAAAATTAACAATAAGAAAAGAAAACAAGACATATTGTACTAGATTATTATGCTGGACTAGATGAAAAAAAAAGAAATTCAATGCACATAAATCATCTACATAAGAGAAAAATAGTCAGACTAGAACATGAAATTCAATTGAAATACAATAACTGAATAATACAAATTTCTGACTTGATAAGAGAAGAAAATTTAAGAGAATAATTATAATGCAAAATTTTTTAGTTTTACTCAGAACGTCTACTTTTAAGCAATTTTTTCTTCGCGTTCTTCTCGTGTTAATGTTCGTGTATCAATATGTTTAATACGTCGAGCATTTTTTGCTAGATCTGTTGTTGCTTCAACCATATCTTTTAATGCATATGACAATGTATGAAATGCTAAAACATCACCAATAGATTGATTTGATACAAATTCTGTACGAATAAAGCGATTATTACCATAAAGAAATTGTATTAATGATGCAAACATTAAATCAACAGCATTACGTAATGATGGAAATTGTTCATGATCTTCTTGTGAATGAGTACAACAAGAAAAAAATTTATAATGGTGTGTAACTATTGGTAATGCTTCAAATGGTGGTACAGCATAAAAAGATGGACCACGATTTAATGTTCTTTGAGTTTTTAAAAGTTTTATTTGTTGTTCATCATATGAATCTTCACGACATAATTGTTGTAATTCAAATGAGCCAACATCAACAACTGCTTGTTTTTCAATTAATTGTTCTGATAAAGATAAAACCTTTTGAATATGACTTTCAAGTGTACGTATATGTTCAAGTATAGGTTGATATAATGTTGTATGTGCTAAACGAAGTGATGCTGATGAATTTTTTGATATAAGAGTTTTCTGTTCAAATCTTGGTGTTGAATGTGGAGAATAAGTCATAAAAATTGTTAAAGGTATATCAAGATCATTATGTAATTGTTGTTGTTTACGTAAATCTGTCACTGTCCAAGAATGAGATGGCTTCGATTCAATACCATTATTCATATGAACAGTACTCTCTCGACGTACTAGCCATCTAAAAATGTTTTAAAATTTTACTTAGGGCATATCAAGAGTGATATCGAACAGTATTTTTAATTCATTATAAAATGCTTAAATAAATTTTGTCTCTATCAACTGATATCATGATAAGAAAAATTCGTTAAAAAATCGTTTGCTGTTATACAAGACGGTAAGACTCGATTATATTTTGTCTTTGATATCTATTCTTCTCTTGATGACGTCTTTGCTCTTCTTTTCTCTTTTTGTTCGCGTTTCTTCTAATATCTAACTGTCGATGCATATGAGCATATACAAAGAGAGGTTTCGATAGAACAAAAACAAACAAATACAAGCACAAATTCATCCAGTCTTTATTTCATCAAGTTTCCTGAATAATCTTGCTGGTTATACAAACTCAATAACATTCGTGGAATTCAAGAACTTGTGTACAATGCGATGCAGTGATTTCGAATCTTTTTGACCATTTCAATTTTGTTTGATTAATGCAAATGAGTGAAATATATAGTGCCAAGTTCGGTGAATTACTTCAGTTAAAGCCTGATGTATTTGTTTCTGTATTTGAGAGAACATCAAGAAGAGGATACACAGCGACAACAAAATGTTATCTACTATTACTGTCACAGATCATAACAAACAACTCTTATCAAATTTGAATTATTATAGTTTTAGTTGAAGAATAGTCAAATATTCGGAAAATGTAGAATATTGTGTTTACTATTATACTATATTGAGAGAAACTTTTTTAAAACTTTTTATAGGAAATTAAAATACTATTGCTACAACTTTTGATATGTCAGAGGTATATTGAGAAAAGTTTTACAATTACTTTGATTCTTGAGCAAAATGTAATTTTGATTCAGCTTCAAGTATGGTTGTACATCGATGAACAAAACGAATATCAGCACTTATTCGACGTAAAGATTTGGCTATATCATTATAACGATCTTTTACTTGTATAAATGGTCGTTTCCAAAAGTTTGGTTCGTTCAATGCTTCTTCAAGTAAAGCAGGAAAAGTGTCGGCAATACGTTCGGTTTCTTCTACAGTTTTCATTAAATCAAATGGTGTTTTATTTGATGATACATTTTGTTGATATGTTACAGATGGACCTATAAATGTACAAAATTTATTACTTGACGATTTTAATGCTGCCGATACATTTCTAATCATAATTGATACCTAAATATAATCAATGAAGAGTCTATTTCTTTTTGTAAATAAACTAGAAGAATGATTACTTTTTTTTTAATTAAAGCACGAGCTGTTATTGGTAGAAAAATATTAGAAATGAAAACATGAATAAATATTCCGAGAAATGTTAAACTTGTTCGAGCTAAAACAGCTTTATTTGATGCACTCATTTGTCCTTGTTGATTAGAAAGAAACGTTATTATTGATGCTGATTGTGCACAGACACTAGCAAAATATTCTTTTCTTGGATCTGTTTTAAGATATCCCATTAGTCCAACAAATAAAGAAATACATATTCCAACAGCAAGATGATTTTGCGTGACAAGTACAATAACATATGCGTAAGTTGAACCAAGTAAAACAGCCATTAAACGTTGAAATGATAGACGAAGTGTACTACCTTCCGATGAATCGGAAACAAGTGCTGTTGTCATCGGTGCCCAATAAACCCAACCATATGCTTGTAAACGTTCACGAAATGAGAAAACAACAATAGCCGATATAAGTACACTTAAACTTGTTTTGATTGAACGTACTAATTTACCAAATGATGGTCTTATGCCAATATAAACAGCAAGATCAGAAAATGGTTTTTTCCAGTTAAATGTTGTTTTCGATTTTGATACATTTATTGTTGGATCAGGATTAGTATCAAGACGAGCACCAGGAGTTTTACTTATTTCAGCAGCAGTTATAGTTGCATGAACAAGACGTAAAATAAGGAGAAGAAATGTATTTAGATGAATTGCATCCGTATTTGATATTGTAGAATGTCGTGGATTTTCACGTACTTGTGTGTATGTTTCAAAAAAACTTTCAAGTGCTTCTTCAACTTTTGTTCGACAAGCAATTAATTGTGCTGTATTAAAATAACTAGTTGATGATGTTGTATATGAAAGTGACGAATCCAAAAAATTAAACGTTGAATCAAGAAGAAGACATATTTCCTAACAAAAAATATGAATCAGAGTTTATTAAGAGATAGGATATGATTTATCGTATACTATTCGAAGAAGAAAATGCTCAACCATTTTCATCCTGGCTTCGTTAAAACCAACCTACATTAATTAATTGTCGTTGACCAACAAATGCACGGTGATGATGATCTAGTGTTAATAATCCAGTAATTGTTCGTTGTATAGAAGCAAAACTTGTTGCCCATATTGATAAGCGTGTTTGTAATGTTGATTTTGTTTTGATGAATTTTTTAATAAATGGAATGTGTCGTAAGAATCTTCGTATTAGATTTAGTAATTTTAATAATATAAAATATGGTTCATATGAAATTTCCGTTAAAGCACGTTGCATTTGTGTTAATTCATCATTAACTAATGAATGTAAATCTTGTATATCACTTTTAAGTAAATGATCATCTTTCAAATCTTCGAATGATGTTGAAAAATGACAAATATCATCTTCACGATAAGAATTTGCTGGCATTTCAATACCAATATCATTATCATCAGAAGTATTCATTTTTTGTTTGTTTTGATTTGTTTGATAATCATATTCATCCTTTAAATGTATATTATGATATTCAGATATAAGTAAAACAATAGCTGTTATTTCACGTTGTATTTGTCGAGCAATAAATCTCATCCGCATTGTTAATTCACGATAAGCAGTTGGTATAGCTGGTAATGGAATACATGTGACAATAACAGCTAATAGACCACCAATTGCTAATGATGTCCAAATTTGAAGTACAAAAAAACTATTGATATGTGGTTTACCAAACCATTGTAGAAGTATAATACATGTGGGTACTATTGAAAAACGACGAACAGTTATTGGTAAATCCGTATAAACAATAAGAAGAACAAGAATATTAGTTGCTCCAACACCATAATAAACGTTGCGTGGACAAAAATTAACAATGAAAAGACAATACGTAGCGGAAATAGCACCAGCAAGAAATAAACGAATAGCTGTTTGAATTGTTGCACCAACTGTACTTTTTATTGCAACTATAAAACTAACACCAAGTAGAAGTTGACCTTGTATTGAATTAGATGTCACTGGTAAAAGAGTAAATGCAGCAACACACTATATTCAAAAAAAATTAAAGAATAACGTTTCATCTATGACATACTTGTTCAATATTTACTTACAGCAATTCCTAGAAGAGTACGGATAGCAATTATTAGTCGTGCTGAAAATGCTGGTAATAATGGATGCCAACATCTACACCGTAATAGTCTTAGAGTACTTTGTCTTGGTGGTGTTGTCATGATATTACTAAAACATATGAGATTATGATCTAAAATATATAAAACGTAATTAAAATAACACTTGAAAAAATTATCAATATATAGTGCAACATTTTAATAAACATGATTGCTGATCCAATATTATGATTTGTTTATTTTACTTGTTTTGTTTGTTTCTTTTTTTTTCTTGGAATATTTTTTCATGAGTAAATCAAAATCGACGCTTAAGCATCAACAACGTTATTTTTTGTTCTCTTTGTGTAATATGATTCTTCGATTTCCTGAATATTTTTTTTCTCGTCCTGATTCAAACGAATAGGTTTGTATTAATCATGTTATCTCGATTAATTGTTTCTTGGCAAAATGTCATGCAATGTGTAGATGTAGAATGCAATCAAAATTTACGCAGATGAAGAAATCGAAGGACAAAACACGAAACGTGTGAATATGTAAGCGTATGCCCACATAAAAAAGAAAGGCAACAAAGTTTATGTTTTTTATTGACACCGTCTGGCTGTAGTGTTTTTTTCTATTTCTCTCATTTTATAATATAGTAATAATATTCAGTTGCACGTCATATTTTTTTTTTTGTTTCTATCAGCGTTTCGTTTTGATTAGTATTCAAGTATTCGTCCTAAAGAATAAGTGATAAAACAAAAACACAAGAATAATGGCCGAGCGAACTGAAAAACATGGTTTTGCCAAACAAGCTTTTGATAAAGTAAGTAATACAATATGTCAACATTGATGCACTTGTACATTCTTTCTTTGTATTTTTTATTTATTTCTCTGTCGGATTAATAAAGACTTCTTACACAGTGCGATAAATTTTATTTAGACTAAAAAAACTTAATTAACAGATAGAATGATAATATCAGTCATGTCTATGCAACAAACAAGCACAAAACATAAAAGACTAACACTTGATATTTTACTCTCATATGTTTTAGTAGTAGAATTTATTGCAAAAACATTTTTTTTCTGTTCATAAGTGCACTAAAATATATTTGACATATCGACATAACAATCTCTTTCGCTGTCAGTTTCACCATATATAGCTATAATAGGTTTGACAGAATCGTTTAATACCCGATAGAAAAAGAAAAAAGAAAGATCATATGCATTGATGCAATATGTAGACGCATTTGAGAAATAAAGAATCAATATTATTAGAGATGCTCAAAAATACTGTAATGGATAAGGCAGAGGAAAAAAGAATTCAAATTAATCTAGTTATTTGATAAAAAATCTTGATTTCTGTTTTAATCAATAGATTCAATCAAAATATGATGTAGTACAAGCTCAGGAAGCTCTACAATGGATTAGTGAAATGATTGGTGAACAATTCGATACTAGTGGAGAAATGGATAATGTTTATAAACAATTAAGAGATGGACGCAAACTTTGCCAGTATGAATTTATTTGCTGGATTGTGAATCCTCTGTACCTTAGAGAGAATCACGAAAAAAAAAATGTATGCATGCAATATTTGAAATTCGAACTCATTGTCTGTCATGCCTCAGGCGCACATTCAGGTGCCACGTACACAAAATATACTCTCGAAAAGCATTAGGATTCACAATCCAGTATTTCCTTTTTGTTTTCTTAAGAGTTGAATTTTCTTTCTTCTTGCCAGATTAATGAATGCTATTGTACCAAATTCTATTCCAAAAATTAATAGTGGTAAATAATTCAAATAATTTGTGGTATTTTTGATTTTATTTTAATCAATTTAGGTGAAAATAACTTTAAATTAATGGAAAATATAGCACGTTTTGCTCAAGCTGCTAAAGCTTATGGATTATCTGATTCAGAAACATTTCAAACAGTTGATCTATATGAAAAAATGAATCTTCATCAAGTAATACTTTGTATTTTTGCTCTTGGTCGAAAAGTAGATTATTTAAACCACTTTTCTTTTATAAGCAAATAAACTTTTTTTTTAAATTTAGGCTCAAAAGCAAGGTGTACGTGGTCTGGGACCAAAAGAAAGTGAAAAAAATGAACGAACTTTCTCACCGGAAACATTAGTACAAGGTAATACAGTCATCAGTACTCAATATGGTTACAACAAAGGAGCAACACAATCGGGTATCGTCTTTGGAAATACACGTCATATGTGATACTTAATTCAACTTTTGTATCAGCGTAAAAACTATTCTATTGTCTTTCTATTGTGTATGCATCAATCTTCTCTATTTCTAATGCTTGATTATGAACGCAAAACTTATTTTATATCATTTATTATTTTATTTTTCTTTTTTAAAAATCTATAGATTTATTTATAATAAGAAAAAAAAAGAGATTACATTTATTTCGCTGAACAAATATATTGTTATATTTATTTATGTTCATTAGAAAGAAAGTTTTTTTTTCCATATTGTATAAATAGGAACTTACTTGAGTAAATCTTCAGTGATAAAGAGACCGATAACGTATATCTAAATGAACACAAAGAAACAATGAAAAGTATAGCAAATAAAAGGTTGCATTTTTATATGTAACAAATATCTCACCTCGCAATACAATGAGAATAGGCGTCCAACGATGCATAGTATCTTAATATTATACAATAAAAAGGAGGACACACAGAATAAAACTTGATGTTTCATGGTATAAATGATGATTGGCAAACCATGCATGCCAAGGACAATTGTTAAGAATCCAAACGGTGTCTGAAAGCCTTCATATAAGAATACATATTAAAAATGTAAGAAGCAAAAAAATGACATTTACCATTCTTCATAACATTTCGAACGATCAGATCATTACTAGATGATAATTTTGATTTCCAATCAGATCCACGATTGTTTAATGCTAAAAATGTAATCCATTCAATAGATGAAATAAAAATCCCGATCTAATCATGAAAAAATTTCATTCATTTAGTAATTCTAATATTTTCTATTACCGATGAGACTCTTGTCCATATAATGCCTCGTCCAATATTATCAATCATAACATCTAACCAAGAACCGAATTTCGATACTTGATTGAATTGTCGAGCACTCCACCCATCAACACCTGTGGTTAAGTAAAATTTAGAGCAATAAAAACAAACTATCTACTAACCATCCAGTAAAGCTTGAATTACATACAACCCTAAGAAAACAATTGGCTTGTCAAAATAATACCAAGCAAAAATAAGAAGACATAAACGAAAATAGCCTAGGATAATAACGAAAAATTTCTTTAATTAACGAAAAATTTCCTTATACCGATTAGATTTGGAATATATAAAAGTACATGGTCTGTTTTCATATTTTTTCTTGAGCTAATAATTTTTAAATAATCTGAAGTAGTAAATTTTATATTTTATTGTCGTTCTTGTTTTTATTTATTCTTAATAATGTTCTTTCTTTGGAAATACATCATTAGAAAAATACACAAAAGATTTGTCTGAAGAAAATAAAAACTAATCTTTGTCGTAGGAAAGTCTCATTGTATTTTTTTCTTAAATGTTCTTTCGAAGCTTGAAATATCATGAGATCGTTCTTGTATTGTTCTATCTAAAAATAAGAAGATTAGTTATATCATTAAAGCAATGTTTAGATCTATAAATTGTTGTAGTAGATGAAAATTGTGATTAAATAAGAATTTTCGATTGGACATATCTGTTGTTAATTTATTAAACCAAATGGAACAATTATTCTTCTTATATGTTCGTCTGCAGCTGAGTTCCGAAAAACTTCTTATCATATCCTTCAGTATTGACATGTGTCAATCTAGCTATTCTGCTACATTGACAATAATGGCTCTAACATAAAACGTGTATTATGTTATATTCGTCTTTTGATCGGTATTTATTAATATATCAATTAATTAAAGACGAAAACAACACCAAAATTCAGGTTTCTAGAATTCAGTCCGTTTATTAAAACAAAAGAAAATAAAAGTCTGGTTTCAACATTGGTTTCAGTAATGTTCTATCACAATATAAAAAAGCGACTTGTTGAACGATTAAAAAAGGTGCCTTGTAGTGTTCGACTGATATTACCACAAAATGCAACAAAAATCTTTTGTTTTAGCAGTTTTTTCTTGTCCATATGGATAACTTTCCAGTTGATGTCTTTCTAATTCTGATCTTATTTGAACATATGCATCGTATTTACTTCATCTCTGAACATATTAAAAATTAGAAAATAAAAAGAGAATCGATGTTTTACCGAGTTATAAATGCGGACTAAGAAAATGAGTTTATTCAAGAATTTGATGCATATGCCAACCATCAGAAACATTTTGATTTCATTTTAGTAAAATCTAAAGCGTGGAAAGTACAACTAATTTTTGCTTTGATCTAAAGGAATTATTTAATGAAAGAATGTAAGTTGAAAAAACAGCTGATCAATATGATATTTACTTTGTTAGTACCAAACTCATGTAAACGTTCATAGATTATTGATATTCTAAAACATATGGAACAAATTATATTTAACACACAGTATCAAGTGTATTGAGAACATGGGTATTTCATAAATATGTAACAGACAGAATCTGTTGAAGCTTTTTATTAGAGAAAAAACCTTCAATTAATCATATGTTAGTATATTAGAAACACATTGTGCATGCATCTATAGGTGACAATTCATATAAATGACACTAGTTGATTCAATTGATAAACTCTTTACTTTATCATGAATGATATTAATTTATTTGTTGCCTAGAGAATGATGCATATATACCTATAGACGATTGATGCAAAATCATAACATATGTTTTTCAGATGTCAAATTTACATCTGACGATGACAATTTCTAGCGATGATAAACAAAAACAAATCATCTGACAACAATAAATTCGAACTTAATATGAGACAATTTTCTTAACTATCTGTGTTGACGAATATACACATGACATGACACATTCATTTTATTGTCATCTGCCATTTAACAGTTTTCTCAAGCAATTGATTAATGACACAGTTGTCTTGATCACATATATACTAATATTAATTTATTTATTTTCTCTTCATAAAGTTGAATCTATATTTTCAATCATAGAAATAATCTGTCAGCACTTATAGATTATTTTTAGTCTTATAAAAAATTAATATCATGCTTTTATGTTGATAGAAATATGTAAATTTGTTCATTTAGTTCTTTCTTTAATTAATAATACAATTCATCGAGGAATAAAAATATATTATCCGTTTGTGTCGGTATTCCATATTGATGCCATAACAATATCGTCTGCAATGATAGTTAATTCCACTGTCTACGATCATCATGACTTTCCTATCAACAGTCTTCAATAGTACGAAGAAAGCAATTTGATTAAGCTATATTTCCAATAAGATTAAACAAAATCCAAAGGCTTATATATTCATGCTAAATATTTTCTACATCTCTAAGCAATTATTACTTAATAAATTAATATGTACAATGACAATAACAAAAAAAACAATATCACATTCCGTAGTTCCGTGTCATCATGTAGATACACTTATGGGCAATATGAGATGGAAAGAAACCAAAGAAAAGTCGATGTTCTTTTGTCTAATTGAAAATAAGACATGTAAAAAGACAAGAGAGAGAGAGACAAACGGAAGAAAAAAAAAAGAGGATTACTTTGTGTTACATATAGTCAGGAATAGAAAATAATTGTCAACAGCTCTTCGTTTTCTGACATTTCTTTTTTTTTTTGTTTTTTTTTCAATTTGTCACTTCTTTCTTGATGTTTTAAAAGAAAACGCACAGACAAATACAAGAAAAGGCATTATAGAACAATATGATAGATCTTTTTTGACATTCATGTCTCATCTGTTCATATAATAAGCTACGATGTATTTTTTTATCTTTAGTTTAATTATTTTATTTTGATAAGACATAATGTCCTTATGCATGTTTACACAAGATTGATCTTTTTTAATTATAAGACCTTATAGTTAATCTTACAGATAACGTTCTTCTCTTTCTATGAATATCTGTATATAGAAAAGACATTAAAAACAACACCAATTATTCGTTGGTAAGAAAAAACAAGATGAAAGAGATTTTTGTTGTATTCAACACTATAAACTAGAATGCTACATTGGATAGATCCATATAGACATGCAAAGACATAGTTCAATAGAAGCAGCAAGAGAATGTCAACAATCATTGTTGTATGCGTAAGAGATAATTGGAACACTTGACAATATGTGTTGTCTCTTTGCAGATTGAGCCTTCCTTTCTTTCTCGATTATGCGAAACAGATACTCCTCTTCTTCTTCTTCTTCTTCTTCTTTTTCTCCATTGTTCATCGTTCATTGTCTCTTTCTTTTTTATTTTCTGATCAGAATTCCAATCTTGTCTTGTAGCATTTTTCTCTTCATTCGTATCTCACCACCGTTACATACAATAAGTATGACGAACTTATTAAAAGCTTTTTTCTTTGCGAACAATGGAACTGAATTGTCGTATCCTGTTTTTAAGAAGTCACTTAATACTTAAAAGAAATATTTTTAACAATTTATTTTCTTTGTTCTTTAGCTTATTTAGAGAGGTATTATGATTAATTAGATAATGTGTAGTATTGTAGATGAATAGAAAGTATATTAATACCTTATCGACCTATTTCTAATTGACATACATTTAGAAGACTTGATTTAAAATTAAAATCTATATGAATCATGGCTAATTTATCACAATCTCGAGGTTTTCAAGTATATAACAACAACAATTCAAAAACATATCCACCTTCAGCAAGATTAAAGTCAATAAAATCAATTGATGAACCAGTAGGTTTTGGTCGTATACCATATTCATCAATACGGAAAAGTCCTGGGACAGTTCCAACATCTCCTGATGGTATAATAAAAGCATCACGAATGTCACCGAAACGACGTTCGTCAACAGTTCTTCTTAGTAATTTATTACCACGTCGAAAAAGTTTACAAACAACAGCAATAGCAACACGACGACAAAGTCTTTGGATGAGTATTGCAAAAAATGATTCATCAACAAACGACTTTCAACCATCGCTGCTTCCATTAAGACAACAACATAATAATTTACTGAGAAAAAAAATTTTACGTTTATTACTAGTTTTTAGTTATTTAATATCAATATCATTATTAGCTATTGCTTTAGCAACATTTTATGGATTTTTTTGGTCCGGTTATAGTACATCAAAAACAGCGACTATATCAGATTTACCAGCAACTGTTCGATCTCTTGTTTCATTAACATCAAACTCAACATATGTTGATTATGAAACGGAAATAGAAGATGTAAGTTGAGATGAATAACTAAATTATAAAAATAGTGATATTTTTATCTATAGAATCTATTAATGAAAAGTACATCTTGATGTGAGAATATTCAAGCGTTATTTGAATAAATACAAAAGATGCAATTGTTAATGATGATTCTTTCGTTCTTTCTATGCCTTTCCAATGTTTTCCGTTGTTTTTTTCTTAATAAGGATAGATAATAGAAAGAATATTGGATGTTTTGTATTCGTTTACTTTCTTTTTATGTTATTTCTCTAGGCATTGAGATAAATAAATTCAATGACATCAATTAAAACGTTTTTTTCTTTGGTAATGATAATAATTAATTTCTATTTCTCTCAGTGTGTTTCATCATCCGGTTGTCTTTTTTTCTTTTCATGTCTATGTGAGTATTTGCTTATTGTTTCAAGAAAATAATATAACACAAGTTGATGCTTTATATGACCAGTATATTACTGACTGCAGCTCAATGTTCAGCTACAGGCTCAAATCTGTTTCATACATGATCAACCTCCATTTTTTTATTGATATCTCTTGGATATATTTCTATAGAATAATAGTAAGGTTCTTATATTTTGTTTGAAAAAATATCTCAAAAAAGAAAATTATTACTCTTTATTCTCGAACTATTCACGTATGTAAATAATTAGAAATAGCAATGCTAATCTAATCTATATTGGTTCATTTCAATATTCACTGTTAAAAAGTAGAAGAAGTGTTTTCCCTCGAGAAATGATTTTTTTGTTTGATCAATATAGAACATAATAGTTCTTATATATATATCTCACTTGACTGAACACTATTGCCTACTAATTGCACATGACGTTTTATCATCTTGTGAAAGTCACGAAACTAATGGGTTATATCTACTGTGAAAATTTTTGTATTTTACCTCCAATTGACAATTCTAAAAAGCATAATCAATTTCTATCTTCGATTCAATTCAGTAAGATGATATTGTCTTCGAGAATTGATGATATTGTCTATTGAATCGTTCTACATAACTTAAAAGAAAAACGAAAACAATTTAATTGCCAATCAATAGAATCATATAAATATACAAATAATGTTAGGCATCATTTATATGGATCTCTTTTTTACCTATATTTTATGACTACTTAACAAGAGAGAAAAACACATTAATTAATGTTTAAAAATGAACAAAAAAAAACAATAAATAAATATAATAAATAGAAGAAAAATTCCTCTTTTTTATGCTGTGAAACAATGTTAAAATAAGAACTAAAATAAATAAGAAGCGAAAACCAAGAGTAATTATAAATATATTTATTTGAGTATTAAAAACATACGAGAAAAATGAATTTTACACCGACTGCACAGGACCTGAACATGTTGAACAAATATAAAGATTTGTATCAACAAATGCCAATTTAATTGTTGATAAATTTTCATTTTGCATTGGCGATATATTATTCTGTCCTAATTCCTTGATTAATGCAAAAATACGCGCTTTTGTTTCATCACTTATTTGTGGTAATAGTATCGAATCAGTAGTTTTATCGCTATTGAACGACATTGTTTGGTTAATGATTGATGACGATGCATTATCAGTCATTTCCAATTGTTCTAAAAATAAGATTTTCATAGAACATATACTCAAACAAAACATAGGATCAATGAGAGAGTATTCTACCATTCATCACGGTACGAGAGACTACAGCTCGAACAAAATCGAACTTTTTAATGTTGTGTTCAATTAACAAATTATTTCTTATGAATGGACGTCTTTTCGTTAATATGTTCTAAATCAGATCGAACGTTCCGAAACCTGTATTGATTCCATATTTCCCAAAAATTATTCCAAGATGCGAATTTTTTATGGTCACATTCCGAAAGAGATTTAAATCCATACCTCTTATAAAGCGCAATTAGAATCAACAAAGATACATATTCAATGGGAGTAGCTAATCGAATATATTGGTTGCTATTGCCAGTTACAGTTTCGATTTAAATCACATAATATTCAAAGTTATTATGATTCTGTGAAATACAATTCTACTCGAATGATTTCATTCCTTTAAAGAAAGTCACTAGTTGAACAATGGTCTAATAAAAATGAGCAGAAAATATTTTTTGAACTTCTTGCTGAATCGAACTGAAATGCCGAAGATTCCATTTTTTCGATCTGCCATAATCTGAGTTTTCGTCAAACAGGTTAAAAAAAGATACTAATCGAATATTTGTCTATTTTTGAAGCTTTAGAACTTGTTTGTATCCAATATCAATCTGTATAAAAGTAATATGGTGCGATCATAAGTTAAACTAACGTCAATGATTTTGTTGCGTCCCACACCTAACACACACAGGATGGGACATAATGGCACTACGATCACATAGTGAAACATTTCCGTTTCATTTCATTCAAATCAGCTAATTTTTTGATTAATAATACAAGTTTATTCAAAATTCCTTTTTTATTAAAAATCAAGTACTATTGTTGACCTCATTGAGAAATTTCAACCTATCGAAATAAATTTCGGATTTCATGTAAAAGAATTAAAAGAAGACATGAAAAGAAACTCTATAAATGATATTACATTAATGCACACTGAGTAAATTTAGTGCTTCATACATATTTCTCTTTCTTGACAATAGATCGAAATTTCCTAAGGCCAAAGCTAGTATGGTAGTATTTATTTATATTAATGCTATGCAAAATAAAACTTGAAATAGACTTGTATTACCAATAAAAAAAATCACTGATTTCAATGAAATGAAACAGAGATATATCGATTTTCTATCGTTCAATTTTTATAAATGTTGATTTTATATAACTTACGATTATTATTTATACTTAATTCTGTTTGAGTAGATGAAGTTATATCATCTTGTCTAATTGGTATTTCAGTATTAAATTCTTGTGATTGAGTTATATTTGAAATCGGTATTTTTAAAATTTGGACAAGTAATATTTCTAATTCTGACAATTTTTTCTACATTGAATAAAAAGAAATATTTTGTTTTTTTTTTCTTTGCAAAAGACAAATGAAATTTTAACTCTACCTGTAAATTAAATCGATCTTGTGTTAATTGGTTAATATAAATATCTTTTTCTTGATAACGTTTTTGAAGTTGTTCGCGTTGTTGTTGATATAAATAAATGTAATCACCTATGTTGAAATCGAAAATAAATTATGAAAATATTTCAATAATATATTTGATGTATACCAATTGTTTCAGTTTCACTTTGTAATTGAAGAATAACATGTTCAAGATGTTGGATACGATCTTTTAAATCGGCATTTTCACGTATTGATTCATTTAAATGTTCCTTTGAAAAAAAAGAACTTATTACAAATGAGGCAAAAGTTTTCGCACAAAAGTTTCATTCATTTTTCGATCACTTAAAGATATTTGGTGAGGGTCAGAAACTATTAATAAGAATCAGACTGTTGTCGATCTTTCCGCACATGTGTTCAGAGTTTTCTTCTGAGATAAAATTGAATAACTATCATCATATTGTTTCAAAAGGCTCAAAATAGTTGAAACCTATTAAATTCAACATGCGAAATAGTTTTCAATAGTTCATACTTGTAAAGCAAAAAATTTGCTCTACAAAGTATCACATTTACTTTTCTATTTTTTTGCTACATGACGAACTTCGAAACTGATGTTTTTTAAAACAGTGATTTTATTAGCAAGGTCGGCTTTTCTTATAAACTAGCTCTTAAGTGAAAACACATAGAATTTGAGTAGTAAAATATTTCACTTATTTTTATAATTCATTTTAAAGAGATTTCGATGCTCTTTAATAACGCTTAGTGAAGATTGTTTCATAAAATGAGGACTACTGGAAAACTGCTATCTTACTTCAAACAGACACAACTTTTGACTTGTTCACAAAATTTACTGATAATTGTTCAATCCTAGCCCAAAAGGAAGACCTGAAGGAATGCTCGAAAATAGCGAAAAATTCTAATTCTAACTCTAACCGACTGTCTTTTAGTGGCCGAAAAAAAAACAAATATTTTGTGGTATTATATTGGTGCCATAGATTAATTACAAAAAGTTGTTGCTGAGATTGATTATTATCATTTGAATCCAATGAGAACGATGAATTCGATTGTTGTTCTTGTGTTTGAGTTTCTTGTTCATGATTTGATTTTGATTGAATTTGTTCAACACGTTCATTTAATTGTTTATTTATATATTCAACTGTTTCAATTTGAGTTTTTAGAGTAATATTTTCATTTGACTAGAAATGAAGAAAATCTTGTTTATTTTTTCTAATTTAGTTTTAAGATTAATTACTATTTTAATAAATCTTTCATCAAGTTCAATTAATTGATCTTTCTCTAGTTGATCTTTTGAGTTATTAACATTTGTTTTAAGTTCAACAATAAGTTCATCTTTTTCAGTTAATAATCTAACACGATAAAAATTTGAATTTCATTAATAAAGATTGAAGATGAATACTTAGTCATTTGTTCTAATTTTGATTTTAATTCTTCGTATCTATTTGACCATTGGTCAATAGCATTTCGAAATAAATCATTTTCTTGTTGAAGATTATCATTATTAAGTATAAAACTATGATCAGATAATTTTATTTCATAAGTTGTTTTCATTGTATCATGTTCATTTTGTAAAATATTATTCTTTTGAATTAATTGATTAATCTCAATTACAAAAAAGAAAAGCATTTGATAGAAATTCGAGATAAATGTATGATACTTGATCGTTCAGTTCTTGAATGTGATTTTGTATATTTGTATTGTATTGTTGATATTGTTCATTATCAGAACGTATTCGATTGATGGATGAAAGTAGCTTTTTAAAAATAAAAAAGTTTAGTTTATGAAAATCTCTGCAGACATATATCGACTCAAGAAAAAACTCAAGATAATTATTTGAAAATTTCAAATTTATTCTCTTTGATTTCTTTAGTCAACATATTTCAAATATTTTTTATTTTCTTTTACAGATTTTGCCTTGATTGATATGTTGTAACTATAATCTTTGTTCTCTGTTCCGCATAACTCTAATTGGAATCAGTATTATGATCGAGATACTGTTTTTAGTAGGCATGTATCAAAGCGTGATTGGTACATCTCATAATGTCCAATGTGAATTGGTTTTAGACACAATTCAACGAAAGAAAAGTTAGATATTGTGATTGACCCGTGCTTGCGAAAGATATTTTCAATGACTTTTAAGTTTGTATTGATATTTTTTCTATTCTATATTATACTCTAATACGATGACGACACACTCAAAGTGATATTTTTAAAGTCATAGAAGAGTTTTTTGTATGAAATACATTCGATGTTGTCTGCTTCTCTTTTTAGATATAATTCTCGAAAAATGTCTTCTCCTTACTTCTTCTATTTGATCATTTTTATGTTGAATTGTTTGTTGTAATTCATTGATTTCGTGTTCTGTCATTGATATGTCATTAGTTGACTGATAATAAAAAAGAAAATAATTTCTTTGGAAAACTTAGGACATACTTGAGATTGTTTCTTTAATTGTTCTAGTTCATTAATTAACTGATCAACAGTAATTTGTCGATTATGAAGTTTTTCATTAAGTTCACTGATATTTTGTTTTAAATCTTCAATTAATTGACTAAAATAATAAATTTATATTCATATAATTATAATTATATAAAGGATTAAACCTTTGTCGAATATTTTCGATTTTTAATCGATCATTTTCTTTATCAGATTCTTTAGCTGCCTGCAAAAAAAAAAATAAAGATGGATGAAAAAAATTTAAAGAAAGAGTCTGAAGACCATTTCTCGTTTTTGCACATTTGATGTTGAAAATTGGATTTGTTTTTCAAGTTCTTGTACACGTTCACGTGATGCTTTTAAACGTCCATATAATTCATCCATTTCACTTTGTTTACGTTCAAGTTGCTTGAATGATTGAGTTAATTTTGCTGATACATCAGTTTTTTCTGCTACTAAGATTCCAATTGTTTGTACATGAATCTAACATATATTTTTATTCAAATGAAAAAAAATCACTGATTTGTAAATATTTACTTCCAGCTGCTCTTGTAACTGTTTTATATCACGACGCAATTTTTCTTCAACATCAACTGAAGTTTGACTCGAACGACCAGACTAAGAAAATTAGTTATTTTTTGTTTTATTTTTTTTTTTTAATAGAGTAATCATTACCATATTACTTGTACCACTTAACTGTTGTTGATCTTCAAGACGAGATCTTTGCTGATTTTGGTTTTCAATCAACGAACCATATTCACGATTTTGTTCCTCAAATATGTACATTTTATCAGTCATCTTATGATAAGGTACTAATATTAGTTTGTCTAGGTTCTATTACTTCTAGTTCAATGACAGGCGATTTCAATAAATTCTGATGAATTCCATCAGGTATAGTTTGCTGGTCATTAACAAAGTCAGTTATAGTTGGCAACCTAATTTAGGAAAAGATTAAATAGATGTTTAGAAATTGAAATCAACTGACATAACATTGTAATTAATAGTAGAATCAATAGATGCCTAGAAATAAATAAATAGATAATAAAGGAATTGCTTAAGAGAACAAGAATTTACTCCATTGATTGAATGAAGATCATTACCATTGGTATCAGTGTTATTTGGTTGGTGTTGATCACGAAATTTTTTTAACTAAAAAATAAAATTATTGATTCTAAAAAGGAATCGAAAATCAAAACAAACTTTTCGACGAGCATTCGCCAAATTTTCACGTTTTTCATTATCTACCATAATTTGAGTCGATGCCAAGAAAAATATTAAAGATCATACACTATAATCACGTGAAAAAAATTTCTTTCCAATGACGGATAAAATTAGCCGTCTATATAAAAGATACAAAATCTGACGTATAAATAGAGAAAATATGTCACTCCAATTGTTTGAGCTTGCATTGAATTGGTACTATCTGGATTGAAACAGTAACATGTGAAGAATGGATGTCTTTTGAACAATAGATGTCCCTGTTTGGCAATCCTCATAGACAACTGGCATGTTATCACTTTTAGTAACAATGAAGAAAAAAAATAACGAACAATTGTGTTCAAGCATGAATATGACTTTCTTAGCTCCCGAATCGTCAATAATAAAAACTGCACGTATCATCAACCATATCAACAAAATCGCGTAAGTTTTGACGAATAACTACAATATTTCAAAACGACCACATGAAAATTATCTACATAAAAATTACTTGTAAACCTTTTATTTCTGGAAAGCAAGAAAAACAACATTTTGATGAGTTTGCCCTTAAAAATATTTGCAGTATTTTCAAAGCAAGATATATCAGAGAAACTTCGGAGTGGATATTTAATATCTGATTGATTTCAACGAATAAGAAAACAGTAAATTATATTAAATTATATCCTTTTTATTTAGATGGATATCAACTATGATTTTATCGGTGAGTACACTTGAAAAATAGTTATATTTTCATACTTACGAGGAGAAAGAAAGGAAAATTTATTCTTATAGCTTATGAAACAATCATAGAAGTACAACAATGAATGCTATCGTATATGAAGGTATACGAGAGTCATAATGAAGCCCTAGGGAATTCTTGTCGTGATTCGTTGGTGAATTTTTAAGCAAGTTCTTGGTGGTTCTGTCGCGAAAAATTTCTAGAAGAAATCTTTGATGTTTCTACACTAGATAGTTGAGAGATCTAATATAGATTTTACAAAGATTCTCTGTGTATTTCTCAGGAAACCACTAAAGCCCAAAGAAAAGCGTGTAGCCATGAAATGTCAAAGATTTCGATACGATGGAAAACTAGATCATAGAAGAGTCCTAAGCGGGTGTTTTTTGTTATTTTATCATAAACCTGCCTGAATTTCTAGTCATATTTTGCAGGATTTTACCAGTTTTTGTGGATAGTATCTTTCTAAGATTTTCTCAAGAGGGTAAAAAAAGAAATGAACACATGGAGTATTGATCTTGAGGCTTTCAGTTTACAAACTAATAAGTTTACCCCGATTGAATTATGTCATGCTATAATATATAACTGCAAGCTTTCATATCTTAACGTTCGAATGAACTTTGAACTTATTATTGAATTTTGTATCAACACAAATTATTTCAGAAAAATTTTTAAAATACTCTTACAAAAATTGCTATTTTATGCAAAAATTATTGCAATAACTAAACTAAAGTTAGTACTACAATTTTAAAATTTTTCATAATCTCTTTCAAATTTGACCCACAAAAGTAAATAGTGTTTCGGGCCGAAATATTGAATCGATCTCAATATAAATTTGTCAAAGACTAGCAACAAAATCTTCTGAAATTTTGCTAGCAGCTCTGTTTGCTTACACAATGATACAACCATAATGAGGATAAAATCTTGAAAGGCTTCTGAATTCTGTCAGATTTGGACTGAAACATACTGAAAACTTGAAAAATTGTTCCATCTATTACTGTTAAGATGTTATACGGCATTAGTATTAGAATTCGTGTTGTGATCTAAGTCTTTACGAATGTTGGATAGGTTCTCAACAAAGCCAGCTCAAACTCTGATGAAACGCTGACTTCAATCTTTGCTAGGAGCAGGATCAGTTATACATATTGATAAAATCTGAAAAAAAAATTCTGAATACAATCTGAACACAAACTTGCTAAGATCTAAAGCAACTCCTTGTATTGTCTCATCAAGAGTCTGATCCTAGTCGGCATCGTCTTATGAAGATCCGAAAATGCAGGCTTCTGAAAAATTCAGACTAGGATTCTGATGAAAAATTGACCAGCTTTTTTCATTTCTGATTTTGAGTAATCTTGTTAAGATCGTCTTCTAACGTGACAACAAATCTTGGCTGGATCGTCATGGCAGCACCTATAACAGGTCTTGATCAACACTGAATAAAGTCTTGGCAGAATTCTGTCCACTATTCCTTGTGGATTCTGATGGGATCCTGTATTCTTATTGTAGGAAAAAGCTTGATGAGTAGCTTGAATAAATCCTGAAAGAATTCTGAATGATAAACCATAAGATCCTTTACATTCGTAATGCTCAGAGATCAGTCAAGACTTTCTCAAGAAATCAAGAGACCTCAATAGTGTAAACGTTGCCTGCAAAAATCATAACTGCCTCCTTATGTTTTCCTATCAAGATTCTGATCAGGATTGACATCGTCTTGCAACTTTGCGAAACCAAGGAGAAAACTAGAGGTTTGGAACTTTCAGCACCTTGTGGTAAAGTTTGGTGCTTAGGTGCTACCAAGTTACTGCACTGCTTAACCCTTCGTAGCTGTCCTGGAGTCTGAGCAGATCCACTTTGCATTTTTTCGTGAATTATTTCATTATTACTTGCTATTTTCGACCATTGTCCTTCTTTAATCTCTAATCTAATATTGGTGCATAATATCGTTACCATACATCATGAATAGGTTTAGAAATTACAACCAAATAAAGATGTGGGACATATGGGCCCCAAAACAGCTACGGTGTTATAGGATTCGTCGTATTTGTCAAAGATGGCCAATGGTTGTGTTTTATAATATAACAAACATTGCCGTAATCAAAGTCATGACAGTTTGGTTATGTCAAAACTCTCCTTTGGATGTAAGAAAAACATATAGCCGACGTGTGGGTGTAGGTGTGGGTGCGTGGGTGTGGGTGCGGGTGCGGGTGTGGGTGTGGGTGTGGGTGTGGATGTGGATGTGGGTGTGGATGTGGGTGTGGGTGTGGGTGGGAGTGGGTGTGGGTGTGTTATAAGATAAGATCAGCCCACACAGGCACCAACATCCACCCACCTCCACACCCACACCCACACCCTTTCGTGTTCTCTGTTTTCTGTCTTTATATCTCTCATGGGCTATCGTTCCATGTCAATTGAGTGTCTGACTCTCGCTGGGGCTCAATATAGGTCTGAATGTTACTGTTGAAATGATTGCAATGCTGTATATAGGCACATGTGTTAGTGTGAGAGTGACTGTGGCTTTTTTTGCACTGTCCACCGTTGGTATGAAGGTGCTTACGAGTCCGATTAAAAGAAGGGATCAACCAGCTCAACTTCATAACTTTGTATGTAATGAGCTCATAGAGAATTGAAAGAGGTCGATTACGACCAAATGAAACATCGAAACAGTTCCTATGATTGGCGCTACTATATTTTTAGAGTTCAGTTCTTTGAATTGAATTCTCCAAAATTTTTATTTCCTTTTCTCAAAGGGTATGTCGAATAACAGAAGTAGTTCGAAAAACCCAACAATAACATAACCAATAACAACATTATCGTTTTGTATGCTAGAAACTATAGTCCAAGAAAGGGTTTGTGTACTCACAAGTACACACTGAAGAACAAAACAAAACGTTGCCAGCAGCAGATTTCTAGGAGCTGAGCTCCTCAAGGAGATAAGGCTTGCAATGACAAATTTATCAACAGTTTCTTAGGACAGCCCTCACTGAACTTGTTGAAGCTTAGTTATGAACATCGGTACTGGTAGTGAAGTATGTGTGAATGAGATTGTAGCTCTAAGTGAGTGTGTAGCGAAGCAGTCTTCTTTTCACCCAATTTCAGGTTTAAATCCAAGCCGCAACGCATGCATACTGACAAATTTAACATCACACTCAATCAATATATTCGCACACACTTATTGGACGATCAGAGATACGCGCACGTGTCGGATCAACTGTAATATACACCAGACTTTGGATTATTTTCAACCGATCTGGGCCAGTCGGTGACCGGTGACATAGCAGTCGGTTAAAGGACAATGTTCAAACAGTGAGAAGCAGGCGTCTATCATACGAAAATTGACAGACTATTTTTGAAGACAAATGATTTATTAATACAGTTTCTCATAAAAGTTGTATGCAGTGATCTGATTCTTGAGATTTCTAATGTCAGGATTGTTAGTTTTATTGACATCATCATCTAAACCCTATCACTAAGAAGTAAAGAAAAACTATTTCAAAACCGTAGAAGCGGATAAGAGTCTTTCCTGAATCTGAAAAATCTTCGTGTTTTTTGCATTGGAGCAATCTCAGTGGAGGCTCAGGGTCAGCCCCAGACACTATCTAATCCCGGATCATTCGATCAGGTTTTTCAGACCTGAGTTCCTCAAAACGATTTCTAAAAAAACTATTGAATTTTAATTATTTCACACCTATCTGATGATATGTCATCCACCACCCTGATTACGAATATTTTTTCGAAAAGTCGCAAAAATGATTTCGGCAGAAGTAATCTATAATTCACAAGTATTTTCTTCCTTTTCCCAAAAACAGTGTTCCAACGCCTTCTAAGCTGACCAAAAGCAGCAAAAAAATAATGATTTGGATGTAGAATTTTATGCTAAATCTAAATATGAAATCAGAAAACTTA